GCTCCATGGGAAAAAGATCAAAGATTCATCCATATTTCAAGGAGGTCTGACAGAAAAAGATCCATTAAAAACATATAGATGTCATGAGGAAAAATTGGATACTTGTGTAGTCAAAAACAGCTACACTCGGGGGAATCTAGTGGTGACTAGTGTGAATATAACCACAAAAATCTATAACAAAATGGGTTAGCTGGAGATGTTTTACCAAACATAGTGAGGATACAGTACTCTATTATCATGTATAATATAATATACCCTCTGGTGATTTAACGTAGCCATGGAAAATCATCATTTTCAATAGGTAAACAATCAGAAATCATCTATAAACGGGCCATTTTCCATAGCTACGTTAAATAACCAGAGGGTAATTATACGGGCAGGACTGAGGGTTGTCCCGGAATGGTCGTATGAACATCAGTGAAAGGCTCATTTCTCTGCGCAGACGCAGTGTTTTATGACTCTGGTACATCTGTGGGTTAGCGTGGTCTAAGGCGAATTTTTGGAAAAATCAGTCAGAAAAGTAAACCCTCTGCTGACTTCACGCGTTTCGGCCATTTCCACTTTTTCATTTTTTTCACTTTTTTGGCGAGTCCGGATTTTATAACTTATGTAAACCCTAAATGAAACCTCTAGTAGAAGTATGCGTATATGTTCCATGGGGCCGGGGGAATTCATAACTTATGTAATTAAACCCTAAATGAAACCCCTAATAGAAGTATGCGTATATGTTCCATGGGGCCGGGGGATTTTATAACTTACGTAAACCCGAAATGAAACCCCTAATAGAAGTATGCGTATATGTTCCATGGGCCCGGGGGATTTTGTAATTTATGTAAACCCTAAAAGAACCCCTAATAGAAGTATGCGTATATGTTCCATGGGCCGGGGGATTTTATAACTTATGTAAACCCTACATGAAACACCTAATAGAAGTATGCGTATATGTTCCATGGGCCGAGGGATTTTATAACTTATGTAAACCCTACATGAAACCCCTAATAGAAGTATGCGCATATGTTCCATGGGGCCGGGAGATTTTATAACTTACGTAATCCGGAAATGAAACCCCTAATAGAAGTATGCGTAGGACGTCACTGTTGTTATGGGTTGCTAGCTCCGCTCTCGGGTATGGCCCTCCGTAGTCGACTGGCCCCTTGGAAGATCATCGTCATCCGTGGTGTTTTCCCCAATTTGTTACAGCTGGGTCTAATTAGTGGTTGACACTATACTTAATGACAGAGCCTTGTGTACATTTCTATGTTTATACATATATGAGTATGAGTACATATTATATATATATCATACGAATTATACACCCGCATGTATGCGTTCATGTATACAAGTATGCATTTGTACATGTTTATATAGAAAGACGGTAACTACATCTAAATATACGGATTTTTAAATATACGAACTTGTACCTTAGACTATTTCCGGGAAGATCTTCTTGGCTGGCGGCCCGCCCGGCTATTTAAACATACAGAATCCAAATTATTTTAGCTATATATTTAAACACACGGATGGAACTGGTGTTTCATACTACCTCCGGTGCCTTGTAGTCTGGCCCGCCCTCCAGATATTTAAATGTCGTTACCATTCACTTGTGCGGATATATCTACACGTAACTACATATGTATCAATATGTACATATACTATATGCGTTAATATATACATACATTACATGTATTGGAAAGAATAAAAACATGTTTTCTGGGTAGCTTCCACCATTTTTCCCCGAAAATGCCCAGTTCGATGGCCTCATTGAAGAAGAAGTGAAATTCTCGGGTCATCTGCAAGGCCCCGTTGCGCCTTGGCTGCCCCCAAAACTTCCCAGGTTTCTAGGTCAAACGTTGGGTTTCCAATTTTACTTAGATGGTTTATACATGTTAATACTAAATAGTAACATATTAGTATAGCTCTTTATTTAGATGGTTTATACATGGAATTAGATGGTTTTGATCCATTCCCCCTGTGACTCTGGAGAATGTTCAGAGACCCCTGCGGCACCGTTGCATGGGCATTCAACAGGTAGGGCCCTTGGATGTCACCGTCAGTGGCCTCGGAGTGTGGTCATGTCCAATGGCGCCGGAAATGATCAGAGCTAGGATGATTCAAAACATCTTCACCAAGTCAGGGACACCAACAAGAATGGCAAGTACTACAAGTACTCGGTATTTCGCAACATCGCTGAATGGTGAGCTTGATGGCTTCAGCAGCTTGATCGTGTGCCCTTTTTTGACTGGCCATTGTCAGTAGGGAACATAAATAAACATAAGAATTCGCCGGTGAGAAATTTGCCCTGCTTTTAGACTTCATGATTTATCTTCCTTGCTCGGTGAGTTTTAGAGAAATAGCAAATTGTTCAGATTTAATGGTAATTTAATGGGTTTTACTGGGATTTAAGGGTAATTTAGCCATAGACACTGATGTGTCTATGGGTGAAAACAATGTTTTTGCAAAATGTGTCATCCGATTGGCATTGTCATCCAATGGCCCCAGAGGTATGAAAAATGTGTTGACCAATCACCACATCTATGCTAGATGTTCATGATTGGGTCTGCTTCAGTTATTGTGTATACACATAATGTGTATAGAAGACATAGAAATTTATTTCTATGTATAATACGATATTATATTGTGCAGTGGAATATCATATTTTATATACACATATATTCATATATATATATACATATTCATAGGTATATATATATACAATATACAAATATATATATATACATATACATACCTATATATATATATGAATATATTTTAGAGATGTATTAAATTCATGATGGTGGTTCTGGGGAAGGGGGAACATAAGCGTATATACATAGATGTATATATATATTACATATTGTATATTCATACATATATATAATGATATGTATTGTGTTAAATATCGTGATATATATATATATTGATATACATATATATTGAGATACATAGATATAAATATATATATATTTATATCTATGTATCTCAATATATATTTATATATTTATATATCCATAAATATATATATATCAACATATGTATATATATATATATATATTTATATATATACATATATGTATTGATATAAATATATTTATATATTGATATATATATATATACATTTATATTGGATATATCATTACATATATTATTCAATATAATACTACATGTTGATATATAATTATATGTTATGTCATCTGTCAATATGCATAGTAATATAGATATATTGTTAAATATATATATATTGTTATACATATATTGTTATCCATATATTGTTATATATATATTGTTATACATGTATTGTTATATATATATTGTGTTATATATATGGTTATATTTATATTGTTATATTATATATATTATATTGTTATATATATATTGTTATATATATATTGTTATATATATAATATCATAAATATATATTGTTATATATATATATTAATATATTATCATATATATATATTGTTGCATATATATTGTGATATATATATATATAGATATACATTTCATTTGTTATCAAATCTTAATCGATTATAATGTCATACACATACCTGAAATCTGTATCATTTGTCTTATGTAGATTACCATGTATTACAATATTCTGCATGAATAGTAATATATGTTTTTATATGATAATATAACAACATGTATGTATGTATGTATGTATGTATGTATGTATGAATGAATGAATGAATTAATGAATGAATGAATGTATGTCATGTCATGTCATGTCATGTCATGTCATGTCATGCAATGCAGTGCAATGTAATGTAATGTAATGTAATCCAATGTAATGTAATGTAATGTAATGTATTCCAATGTAATGTAATGTAATGTATATAATATAATGTAATCTAATCTAATCTAATCTATCTACATATATATATATTCTGAAATATATATATATGTGTGTGATTTACTATTGGATTTATTACCAGTACCCCACATCATTTTTGGGCTCATCCGCATCACCTCCTGGAAAAAAATCACCTTCGCACTGGGCAAAAGGCGTTCTCATCTTCGGTTTGGAAGTGCAGGCCGTGGGCAGGACTCACCTGGAAAATCATCCAACAAAGGTCAGCTACCAGAGGCGGGTCTCCTATGACTTGGTGAATGATACCAGAGGGGACCATCTCTCCAGAAATAGATGGAAATTCACCGTTTTTTTTCGATGCAAAAATCTATTTGTGGCCACTCATAGCAAATAGTGAGTGGAAAAATCCAGGACCCAAATGCCCAAATGCCCTTAAATGCAAGATCTTAGAGCCCCCGCAAGAAAGATAGGTCAATGTTTGGCCGACATATTTCCCAGGTCAGCAACTGCTAAGACTTCATCCAGTGACCATCCAGTTACCCTCGAGTGGCAATGGAAACTGTCACCAAGCCTGGTCAAACTGTGGCCATTTTTGCATCACACCTCCATTTCGAGAAATCAAAATACACCTACTTCCCAAGCACCGATTTTGCTGGACCCTGCTATGGATCAGAGTTTGGTTCCTGCGGTTTCTGGAGTTCTGGTGCCCATTTTATCCATTTTGTGGATGCCAATGATCAAACATGGCTTGAAAATCACCATCATATCATCATCACAAGCAAACCATCCACATCATCCACCTCCAGGATTTGGAAGACTTCCGGCTGGGAAGACTTCCGGCGCCGCCCCGCAACCGCCCCTTTTTGCGAGTCGCTCTCTGAACTCACGACTCAACGACTCGGCTGACGCTGCAGGGATGATCCCTCTAAAGTTAGCACGAATCAGATATGGAAAACGCTCGTTGATTCATGCTTTAGATTTTCGGTTGGATCATCCAACCCAAAGATCGCCTGGAAACGTGGCAAGTTGCTGCTGCAAAAAAGACGAAACATGCAAACACGCAGTTCTTTGTTCTTTTCTCAAGGGCTTTAGACCTGGAAATGTTGGGAAGAGTCCAAAAATCGAACAGTGTTTTCATCCTTTGTCCAATTGAAATTGTCATAAATTGGAGGTACCCAGGCTTTAGCATGTCTCATCTGCTTCCTGAGCGTTTGGAAGGTGCTTGATCGTCCTGCCGCAGCTTGTGACATTTTGTGCCATCCTACGGTCCTATGATAAAATGAATATAAAATGGATAGGACATGCCTCATGTTTCACGTCTTGACTTTTCTGGAAGTGAAATTCAATAGACTCCAGGGTATGGGTTTGAAAATTGCACTACCAATGAGATGGAGGGTGACCAGTCTTTGATACAAAGTGATGCCAAACGTTAGCTAAGTTGACTTATAGCTAGGCCATCGATGGTTTATGGTGGATACATCTATAGTCGGATGATGTTGAATGGGTTTATGATACAAAGTAACTTATAACCGGGGGGGGCACCACAATGTAGTTCAGTACTCCATGATACAAGTTGGGAAATCGTTCTGAGTTCCACTGGACTACCAAGATGATGCCCTTTGAAGTTTGTGGAAACTGGGGCATATCCTAGGACTCTGACATATCCTGCTTCTAAGCAGATATAGATCCATTTACTGACCATTCACTGTTTTATTCGGGCTATGGTAACAGAATCACATGCGATTAACTGCTTGCGAGGTTGACTGGCCGGGATATTCCGAGGTCATTCAAGGCCAAAAAAAGCGGTAGCGAATGGACCCCTTAAGAGACTGCCCAAGAAACCAGGTAGATGACTAAGCCCTGAACTAATCATCAACCGCCAACAACCAAACATAATTTCTGGATGATATGTATACATTATAACTATATATATATACACATCTCATGTTTTATGCTTAAAGCACCCTACAACATGGTGTCCCTCAGTTATACTATTTGGTTTATGAATCCTCTAACTACCTCGATGTAACCACCGCAAATCCTAGTGAAATATTGGTTATGAAGCAACTCATATAATTATCATAAATCAACTATAAATCACCAATTCTCTTGGCTAAATTACCTTTTGAATCCTCATGTTTCCTCAGTATTTGATAGTTAAACCACCACTAAAAATTGCCATTGCCCCCTGGTGAAATGGTACGCCCTGCCTGCGCTTGTGCCTGCAAGCACTGAATGTAGGTCTGCATGTTTCCTGAGATGATTTTGCATGGCAGCATTTCCCGAAAACAAATTAGAGGTACCTACCATATAATATACAGTATAAGGTCTGTGTAAGGGCTATATAAGGGATATATCCCAAAATATGGCTTTAGATGGTACAGTACCTCCAGTTTAGGTACCTGAAATGACCATTGAATATATGTCTTCCATGTTATGTGCATCTAAGTATATCTGTGCAAATACATGTACATATAATCCATCCTGGAGTAGATACGGAAGTTCAAAAGATCATCACTAAAATGGCTTGAAAATTCCATATTCTATCTACTTCTGGATGATAGTATTTGCATGTATGTACCTAAATACATAATGACATAACATCTAGTAACATCTAGTTTAGATATGCTGAGAGGAGGGAGTGAGAGAGTGTCCCGACAAAGGTGAGAATATGGAATCTTCAGGAATATTCCCATTTTAGTGGGGAGCTTTTAAATTCTCCATAATCTATCTACTTCAGGATGACTCTATATGTACACAATGTTGTGATCTTCTACTGACATATGATATAGGTGTGTTTATGTATCCCATTCATCTGTGCATACATATTTTATCTATTCACATATAGATATAATGTCATATCATGAATCCATCCACATATATATATATATACATGCACATGTATTCCTGAAACAAAAATGTGTGTTTGGCTTGATCTACATATGTAAATCATTATCTACATCTTGTATATGTACGTACATATATATGTGTGTGTGTATGTATGCGTATGTGTATGTATATGTGTATGTGTATGTGACTGTGTGGGTATGTGTATGTATGTGTATGTATGTGTATGTGACTGTGTGGGTATGTGTATGTATGTGTATGTATGTGTATGTATGTGTATGTATGTGTATGTATCTGTATGTATGTGTATGTATGTATGTCTATGCATGTCTATGCATGTCTATGCATGTCTATGCATGTCTATGCATGTCTATGTATGTCTATGTATGTCTATGTATGTCTATGTATGTCTATGTATGTCTATGTATGTCTATGTATGTCTATGTATGTCTATGTATGTCTATGTATGTCTATGTATGTCTATGTATGTCTATGTATGTCTATGTATGTGTATGTGTGTGTACTTACGTACGTACGTACGTACGTATGTATGTATGTATGTATGTACGGAAGTACGGAAGTACGTATGCATGTAACTATGTACGGAAGTAGGGAAGTACGGAAGTACGTATGTACGTATGTACGTATGTATGTATGTTACTTATGTATCTATGTATGTATGTATGTATGTATGTATGTATCTATGTATGTAAGTATGTAATTATGTAAGTATGTAAGTATGTAAGTAAGTAAGTAAGTAAGTAAATAAGTATGTATGTATGTATGTATGTAAGTAAGTAAGTAAGTAAGTAAATAAGTATGTATGTATGTATGTATGTATGTATGTGTGGATGGATGGATGGATGGATGGATGGATGGATGGATGGATGGGTGGGTGGATGGGTGTATGGGTGTATGGGTGTATGGATGTTTGTATGTATGTGTATGTATATGTATATGTATATCCGCTCATGTTGCATTTCCTGCCTCCCTTTTCACAACAGCCAAGCTGCCCAAGTCCCAGCGTTCACCCTCAATGAGCACTCCATCAACTCCTGCCCAGCCGTGTTGCCAGCCATATCATGGATTGATTATCATGGGATAGATATAGATATATATATATATATACACATACAAATACAATGATGTATGGTGTGCATGTATAGATCTATGTATATATATATATATAATGGCCTATATATATATGTATACAAACAATTTTGATGGGGATATGATAATAATCGAATAGTTCATTGGAATCTTACGGCATACGATGATATATTGCTATTTACATATACACACAAATAACGACGCATTTCTTGCCGTCTCGAGATACTCCAACGTGTACTGTACCTATGCTGGTTAAACAAAAAAAAACAATGATATGGGGGGTTCAAGTTTTGACACGACTCCATTGACTTAGGGAAGACAAATCCAAAAACCTGCAGCTGTAGGAAAGACACCCAGTTTTTGTTGTAGCTACGAGTCCTGTGGAAACTGGGATGTAGAAACATGAAAGTGAATAGAAAACAAAAAAACATACAGTATCCGATGGTTGAATGCTGAAACTCAAGCTTACAAAACCCCGGGAAAATGACCTGCCAGAGCTGGAAGCTTTCCTTTAGATACGAAAAACACCATGGGCACCCGAACCTAGGTTGCTTTCCAAGAAACATGAGGTAAACCCCACATCTCATGGGAAAACCATGGTCTCAACGGTGGATTTTCCCTCAAATCCTCCCTATGATTCCATCATTTGGGGCACCACAGCTCTTTGATTACCCCGGTTCTGTCTGAAAATAAGGGTACCTTGAATTCCAATGGTTTATCATGATTTTCGTACATGTTCGTCACAAAAATTTGCCATTTGGAATTTCCCCATGGATGGTGGTAAATTTGCGGCCAAGCCCCGAGAGGGATTCAGGGTTTCATGTCTTGGGGCTTAGGGTTCAGCATTGATTGTTTTGGAAGCCCAAATCGTGGGCCTTTTCACACTAATTTTGAGCATCAGGAAGAAATAACGATTGCGTCGTTGTAAGTCTCTGGGCAAATTTGGTAAATGTGTCGTAAATATACTTTTTTCTGGTATTGGATGGTATTGGATGGTATTGGATGGTATTGGATGGTATTGGTTTCACGGTAAGATAATGGATTCAAGTCAACAAAATGGGTCGCTTTGTGGTAGAGCAGCACCATCATTGGCCTATCAGGTTCTTCGAGGCTCCTCTACCGATCTTCGATTTGTGGGATGTTTACCCCATCTAACGAGTCCGATAGATATATATATATTATATTATATATTATATATTATATATATATATATTATATATATATTATATATATATTATATTATATATATATATATTATATATATTATATATATATTCATCCAGCATACATCCCATCTTTAGCCTAGTTCCAACCAACTTACCCATTATAAATCGTCTTTTTGGATCCTCAGCTTTCCTGATTCAATCTCCATTTTTTTCATCAATAAATTGCTGCGTCCCAATTCTTCCATTCTTTGATGCTTCAATCCATATGGATTGGTAGAAAGGTTTTTCTAATGATCATGATTTTCCACTGTTTATAAGATATCTAATATGCCAATCATGATCACCATTTCTAATAATTAGATGCATCTCATGGACTACCACTCTTGGATGGTGATGTCCCAATAGATATCTCTACCATAAATCCAGATGTTCATCCCATCCTTCCGAGAGCCGCAGCTCATCCAAGATATGGGTAAAGTGCCCACCCTGCCATGGCGAGACAGGAGTGAAAACCATCAAGACATAGGGGATGAAAACCATGGAAAAACCATGGAAAAACCATGGAAAGATAGGGAAATCACCAGTTTTGAAATCTTCGATTTTTGGGAGAGTCAATCGAACTTGACCTAAATCTTTGACGATCTGACCCTTTTGTTCAGTAAAAATCATGGCGAAGATTCATGGTGGATTTTTGGGGTTTGTTTACACATCATGGCCGGTTTAGGGAAAATAATGATCATATATAATGTGGATTTTTTGGGTACGCTAGGGGGGTCCCTGAATCTTCCAGACTTTGCGGGAAAACTTGACAGGAAACCTTTGGTTTTTTGAGGGGCAATTTCCCATAGGGAAAAATCCATTGAGAATGCCAGGAATCCTGGAAATGCCACTATGACATGGAAATCCCAATGCTCCGAAGCACGCATCAATTAAGGGCCCAAAAATGAAGGGATTCTTGAGACTAAACTGGGGAGTGTGTGTTATTGCTGGTGAGTGAATATTCTTGGGGGAGGGATTATTACTGGGGAATCCCCAATCCACTATAAATGGCCGTGCAAACATAGGCTACCAGCCATTCTTGCAGCGATTTTCAGCATATTGCGCATAAGATGGATGTAGCAAATACAATACGTATATATACGTGTATATATATATATTATATATTATATATATATATATTATATATATATAGTGGTTTCCTAAAATATGGGTACCCCTAAATCATCCATTTAAACAAGATTTTCCCATGGAAATATTCACCATCCAGCGATAAAGGGGTAATCTCCATTTATGGAAACCCCATATGACCTTGTTGGACCGTAAGGCTCGGAAGGTGCTGAAGGTCAGGATGTAGTGCCCAAAGGAGGCCAAGTAGTTTCCTCCATGGAAGCCATGGTCATGTTCAGCGGAAATTTATCGAAGTGGGTGATGTTCCATGGTTATATAGTTTACAACTTGCAACAACCTATAACATGATAGTTGGTCATATTAATATATATTAATATTGAATGGTCCAATCATATACCATGATATGGTATCACATAACACAACAATGCGCGGAATACCTGGATTTCAGGTGCTAAAGATCTTGGCTTGGGGGAAAGATCAGATTTTCCTGATGTACCTTTGGTAGTTTTTTAACATGGCTAGCTGGACAATCCCAGCTCGCTAGCCATGGAGATTTATAGCTGGATGTCCAGCAAGCCATGTTTGACGACTGGAGGCTACTCCTCGGAATGTGGCGAACCCAACGATAGAGAAAACCGCGAAGGACTTGCCAGAAATGGCTGGTATATCCACCCCCCAATTGGAGGCTCATTGGCTCATTGTTTATCGCATTCTTGCAGCCAGATATATCATATCGCCTTATTGTTCGCTGGCTTCAAGGAGATCTTGAGAATGTCAGTCGGAAACGGGCCACTCTTTTCAACCCAGTAAATTAAAAATGAGGGAATCAGTAGAGTTATTATTAATGGTTAGTTATTAATGAAACACCTCTAGTGGTTTATTGGTTAGTTATTATTAATGTAATCATGAAACCACTAAAATCAGCGTCAGAAAAGAGTTCTCCAATGCTTGTTGACGATACCCTCGAGAGTAGACAAACATGACAAAGTTGAAGTTGAACTCCCCGAAATACCCTGGAAAAATGACCACATCCCATGGGGTAATTTCGATTCAATAGTCACAGGTTGATCACTCATAATCACGAATCATCACGTATAGTCATTAATAATAACTAACTATAATAATCACTAATAGTATATTATTAATAATAATCACTAATAGTATATTATTAATATTAATAATAATAATCACTAATAGTCACCAATCACCAACTAATCAGTAAATTCATCCTCAGAGTTTCCCACCTGCCGGCAGCTGAGGGGTCACCAAATGCTCATCCGCAAACTCCCTGCCGATGCGAAGCAACGAGATGTGTGTCCAATTAGTGAGTGTCCCCTGTTCAAGAAATTCTACTGGGAAACCGTATATATATATATTATATAGGTATATATATATATATGGTTTATAGGAATCTAACTGTATTGGGATATCCAGTGTCCCCCCCATTCTGGAGATATAATGAATATGTTTGATGTCTGAGGTTTTTTTTTTCAAGGTTTATTCAACTCCCAACAACCAACAAGCAATGGCGAGCTTCGCCCATTGGCGTCACAAAAATGGGTTGAATCCCCATGTTGAAATCGTATGGCGAAGAAGAGCCACATCCCCGATGCAAGAGAGATAAGAATATACCAAAGAAATATCAACTTATCATTTTTCCACGGACCCATACTAAATCCAAACAATACACCAATCATCACGAATTGAGGGCGCAGGCCTCGTAGGTTTCTCTGCCAGTCGTGAGAGCCTGACGAAATTTTCCAGGGACATGGCTTTGGTGGAAGCCAGAAAGATGGAAAAGTATGTCCGGTCATGTCATATTGATGGGATCTTGTGTTCTATACATCTTTTCTGGGAGGATTGCAGTATTCGATCTTTTTCGGGTGTTGTTTTTTCACCCTGCAAGAAAATCAGCCCATGATCCTTCCATTCCCCAACGTTTACCCAGGCAACAGGAAACAACAAAAAAATCAGGGGAGGACCCAAAGGGTCTATATATATATACTATCTATTGACCCAACCATGTTTTTACCGATATCTTCAGCAATTATTCAGCAATATGTCCAGTTCATTCCAGTTCTATTGGATTATTTCGAATATTGAACATATTGCTGGGTATTAAATCTAGAACATCTTAGTGCATAAAAGGGGATATATAAATAGTAAACCGAACCCAAAAAGGCTTGAAGAAACTCGTGAAACTCGTTGCATATGGCTAGAATCCATCGAGACATATTCCTATGTTTCACGGATATTCAATACTTGGATGCGCATCCCAGTAACTCAGTGGTAAACATTCCATGCATACATATACATTTATACATATATCATCTGTACCTAACTCATGAATGTTCCACATACCACGTGGTAATTTCACATAGCTATGGGGGAAAAATATTAAAAAAATAAACTGTTGTTATAGGATAATATAGGTAAATCATCTGTTCCTATAGGCCAAGCATACCATTGCTATGTAATAAATAACCGGAGGGTAACTGTGTTAGAGGCGGAGCTGTAAGGACACCAGTTCTTCAATATGTGGTTCATAAAATCAGCTTTTAGCCCCTGATTCCCAACATGAATAAGTTCTTTATGGCATTAATATGAATATGTAATATGGCATATAAGTGGCATATACACGGTGTCAAATATCTACATTGTAATACTAAATAACAATGAAAATTAAGATATGATGGTTTCCTAAAATGGGGGTACCCCAATAGCTGGATGGTTTATTTCATGGAAAATCCATCTATAAATGGATGATTTAGGGGTACGCCGATTTATTAAATTTATGGAAACACCCATGTCGACGTCAGCTGATATCTGCTTCATATGGCTACTGGTTGGTGGTATACCTACCCCTCTGAAAAATATGAGTTCGTCAGTTGGGATGATGACACTCCCAATATATGGAAAGTCATAAAATTCCATGGTTCCAAACCACCAACCAGATTGTTATTCTTTTTCGTTGCCAGGTTTAGAATAGGTAAACCATCTATAAATGGGCCATTTTCCATGGCTATGTTAAATAACCAGGCTATTAGTTTATCTGGGGGATAGCGCCACAGCGAGCCACGGTTTCAAACGTCGAGCCACGGCCAAAGCGCAGGCGCCGCTGCCGTCACGTCCCGCGGACCCAAGGGTGGAGGCAAAGGTGTTGGGGGCTCCTACTGTTCCGAGATCCCGGAGGATCTACCAGCCATTGGGGATATGGGATATATGGGATATACAATGATAGGGGATATAAGTATATGTAGGGGATATAAGTATATATGTACATATATACAATGACAATGATAGGGATATAAGTATAAGTAACAACAATTAATGATCAATATGTGAATGTATGAAGTTTCTCCAAAAATGGAGAATTTACAATCGCAATATATGGAAATTGTTCGTTGGCGTTTTTATCATGATGCACCCAGTGGATGGAATGGGGTAGCTATTGTCATACAAACTTACCTGGATTTCAACTGTGGTTTGAGGAAAGGTTAATTTTGAAGAACCAAACATTGGTTGTTTACCATAACCACAACCAGCAAAAAAATGGAAGCCTAACAACCAAACATGTTTTTTGGAATCGAAAGTTCACCACAAGAAATGAAGTGTTTCAAGCAACAATAACAGGGACTTGACCAACAAAACGGTTGTGTCATCATTGTCAGCAACAAAAAGAAGGATTCACCGACACATCTGGAAATGGAGGTCGAATCAGCATTTTGGGCTGATCTGCTCTTTATTTCCATCAACCGATCCATTTACCCTCTGGTTATTTAACATAGCCATGGAAAATTGCCCATTTATAGATGGTTTACCTATTAAAAACGGTGATTTTCCATGGCTATGTTAAATAACCAGAGGGTATATACTCACCACAAATTTGTAATGATGGAACTCAAATGCCTCCAAGATACGACTTGCAAATGTGGCCCCCCGATTCCCATAGGCACAAAAACGATAGTCAACAGTCATCCTTAGCCGACTACTGTCGCCGCCTTGCCTCAAGTTAGCGCTCCTTACAAGCATAGACGCTTGTACCATGAAGCCCATCTTTGTCCACACAATGCATACCCACCTGGGCAGTTGATGGGATATGGGATAAGAATGATTCATGATGATATCCCATTCATATCCCATTCATATCCCATACACATCCCATACATATCCCATAATAAACCATAATAAACCTTCCAACCGGCGTGCCTGCTTGAACAGTGGAACGGTTTGTAAATCGTTGTAACGTATCTTCTTTGGCGTTGTGCTCGTGCGACTGTTCTCTTGCTACGCCTGTTTGCTTCGTATGTGGCGGTGAGTAGCTGGTACTAAAATGGTCTGTATTATAATATATATATACATATACACGTATATTATGCAGCCACTAAGTTGGTCTACGGTAAGTAGCTGCTAGTAAAATGGTTGAGAGTAAGTACCTTTGTTGCATCTCCTCTTTTGCTGGAACAAATATCACCATTTCTCTTCCTCAAACATCCTTTCTCGTTGCTTCGACCTGCCTCTTTGTTCCTCAAAATCCCCATTTCGCTCCATCTTTTCAGTGATTTCTGTTCCACCTTCCACTGCCATGCCAAAGCACTACAGAGCGCCCAGTGAATGCTCGCAAGAGCTGCCCAACACAACTCAGGTTCTCCTCTGGACATGGTGGAGTTCGAGGTTTCCAATCCATGGATTTTTTGTTGGGGATCTTCCATTGAAAGCTTCCAGCTATTGGGGTACCCCCATTTTAGGAAACGCACATTTCTGGGGAAGTGTGATCGGTGACATTTGGGTATGGGTTTGGGTATGTTTACACCTTGAATTTCAGGTTTTAAAGGGTCTGATTGAACAGACCTGCGGACAACTAGGATAACCATATGGCTTTGGTTTCAACCCCTTCAAACATTTGAAAGTCACTTGGAGATCATTCCGGAAACTCGGACATAGTTGTTCTTTGCAACCAAACCCTAGCATCAATCATTAGACTTTTACCCACCAATTGTGTTCAGGTTGGAAAAGAAAACGATGAATAATTCACCATCAATGCCACTTCTTTCTACACAACTATGCTGAGTTAATGTTGCGTCTTTGAGATCCCTCCGGAGCCATTGGAAAACACGATAGGTGGCTTTTTGCACCACCCGGAACCACCACCCATAGGTTGAAGTTTCTGGATAAATTGAAACATCCAACAGTCGCAATGATTTTGGTGTTTAAATTCAGAGCCTAGAAAAACTTTGCGTGTGTGGATTTTGGGGAAGCAGATAGTTTGCATCATGCAAGATAACTACTAGTTTCACACATTCAAATCCGTCCCTGAAATTTCACACGGAACCCACGTTGATGGCAATGTTCACGCGGAAGATCAATGCCCACCGCCATCTATTTTTTGTGGCGATGGAATATGATGGAATACAATTCTCGGAGAGTCGCATTGCAGCATCCATCAAAGGGTCCTTTTTTTCGGCCAAAATTGGCAAAATCCTGAAGTACAAAATCCATGTTTCATTACAGCCAAAGCACAAAAAACGAAGGGTCACATCCGTGAAATCCAATCCTAAAATGGTCCTAGTTGTACAGAATTGCCACTGTTCGATCCCACAATGAATAGGGGGTTACATTTAAACATATCCTGCTTTGGCCAATAAACGTTAATCATTGTGGCCATGACTTGGCACCATTGGGATATTCTGCGATGGATGAAATCCCAATGTGTTTGATTCCAATCGCTATTTAACTGTTGGTTTTCTATCAGTTCAAGCCCCAGTTTTTGCTGGGTAAATCCCCCATGAAATATGTTGCCGCATTGTTTTGCATATAATCTCATTCCAATATTCCCTGAGAACTGCTGCAAGAAGCAACCACCAAAACATATCGGATTCTTGCGGTTGACCACTACATAGAAAACATTTTACTTTTTAGTCATCCCCCCAACAAATCGGTTTGATAATTACCAGCTGGTATACACCCAGCTTTTGGAAACAAAACTACCATCTGGTTATGACTAACAGTTTGCCATGGAAAGATCCACCATGCTATTAAGTTCGGTAAACCATCTATTTCGATTAGGGCCATCTATGTTAAATGGCTATGTTAGTCATAACCAGAGGGTATATATATAATTCTTCGACAAAATAAACCATCTATAAATGGGTAAACCATCTATTTCTATGGGCCATTACATTTTCCATGGCTATGTTAGTCATAACCAGAGGAACCAGATGGTAGACCATAGAAATAGTGGTAATGTTCCCATTAAAAATGGTGATTTCCATAGTTTTTTGTATGTCATAACCAGATGGTAAATCCCATGAAAAATTCCATTAAACCACCATAAACCCTCATGAAATCAGCATTTTCCTATGGTTTTGCCAGTAAATCCTATAGTAATGTTTTGGATACCAAGATTTCAGCGATGTCAAGTCAACTACTGCGCTCCGGCGAGGTGGAGCGGCAGAAGTGATCCCCCCAGGCCAGCAGGAAGGCCTCGCCGTCCACCTGGCAGCGATCTGGTGGAGTTTCCCATGGAAGTGGTGGATGATCCAAGGCTTGGCTGGACTTTCCCATGGAAAAACCATGAAAAGTGGCTGATACGGCTGATACCCTCTGGTGAACTAACATAGCAATGGAAAATCACCATTTTTAATGGGAAAATCCACTATAAATAGCCATTTTCCATTGCTATGTTAGTTCACCAGAGGGTACAAAGAAATCGAATCTACTCCAGTTGCAGAAAAATGGCCAGGTCTCGGCAGTTCGCCTCTGCCTTTACACATTGACAATAAATTTGGAGTAACAAATGGGGGGTCATTCCTGTTGGCCAAACATCGTTACGACACGTTGCAACTCTATGGCCCTATGGCAACCTTACATGGACACCATGGGGTCAAGCCATTTAAGCCCCATAGGGGCCACAATTTCTAGTGTATGTTTAGTATTCACCATCCAATTATTCCATGGTCAAGTATTTGGGTATGGTCAATTATTTAGTGGTTCAGTGGTTCCAAGTATTTTCACCCATACCCGAATATTTGGAACCACTGAACCACTGAACCACCGCTTCTCTGAGTGGTTCAGAGACAGTTTTGGCAGCGTCGATGACAACTGGTGTGCACAAACGGAACACCGACCCTTTTCTGTGTTTTTAAGCAACCAAAATACAACCAATGGGGACCCAACTGATCGGACGTCTAAAATAAAGAATGACATAAACACAACCACGGAAAAAATGTTTCTGGATCTTCTGATATGAATTCAAGAAAGAAAACATGTGGATCTACCAACATATCGCCGTATATCGGCAGCATCACTGCTGATTTCAAGAACAATTTTGGGAACAAGTGCGTTGTCCCAATGATCAGTTTCCCTCATCCCAGTTTTCTTGGCAACATGCTAACAGGGCTGCCACGATCCACGATGGATTTTCTGTCGTCCAAGGATGGGGCCCCATATGGGAAAATTTCATGCTCCTGGGATTATAAAACGTTACTGATTTTTATGACTCCTAGTGCTTATTAATTATTTTTAATGAACAACCAATATTCAAGTTATTCCCCATCAATTCAACAATTGGTCATCATCGCCGCCCAGTGCCTCCTGTTCGCAAAGCACCAGCGCATCGGAAATGCCGGAGGGTTTCTCTTGTCGGACGAAAGTGATCTTCTCACCTGCATAATCCAACTGGGTGCAATATATGGTGATTTGACAATGAGCACGGGGGATAAAATAGGAATATATACAAATATATATATATATGTGTATATATATATATGTATATATATATATGTATATGTGTGTGTAAAGGGGATGGAACAGAATGTATAACAAATTTACCCTTCGGTGTCATCAAACATGGCAATTGCAGGGAAAAAAATCTCCGAACAAAATGAGCATTTTTTGATGCGAAAATCCCCTAACTAAATGTGGAATCTTGCAGCAAGCGGTCTTTGATTACCAGGTGGTAGTGAGAAAATGTTGGAGCCGCGGCGATCCCAAGAAAAATAGCGGGTGTAGAACAAGAAAACACCCTGTGTTGGGACGGTTGAGACCATCGCCGATATTGTGGTGCTTTCGGAGGAGCGTAACACATGTTGACCATCAAGTGAAAGCATTCCACCTGCTTGTTTCCTGGTGTGGTCGAACTGCTTCAAGGATGTTCTGCAGCTAGTGTCTGTGTAATCATGTAAAATCTCATGGGCCCTGGTGGACGGTAGAGTGTACCAAGCTGCATCTCGAGGGTGAAAAGACATACTAAACCAGCCGCAACTAAATTCACGAAGTTGTGCGACTAAGCGCAATTGAATTTTGAAACATGACGTTTTAGCAGAACATCCAAAACCTACATGTCACTTTGCCTTTTCCTCCTTACGCCTTTTCTTCTCTTTCAATTCCTTGGCTTTGCGGTCACAGTACATACAAAAAAAGTACGAAAACCAATAAAGCCCTTTCCCGCTGCCTTGCCAGAAATAAAGCTTCTGCATAAGAAAGTTTACCTATTAATAGCATGGTGGATCTTTCCATGGCAAACTGTTAGTCATAACCAGATGGTCGTTTAACAAATGCCATTGCTGAACCTCACTTCAGCTCGATATCCTGCCAGAAACCCTGCTGAAAATTGCGCCACGAAGTCGCCCCATTACGTGCCCCCGAATGATGGATAGGCTGCCTACAAGGTGGTGCCCCATAGTTAGCTAAGTTGGTTTATAAGTCCAGTAACTAGGGTTTATGGGGGTTATATCTATAGTTAATGGGGATTATAAACCAACTTATAACTGGGGGGGCACCACCTTGTAGTTACTTGTTGCAAGATTTTCAGTGCCACAACAAGAAACAACAGCAATAAGTTGCACTACAAAACATGATGTTCTTCTAAAAAATCGTCCAATGACGACTGCGAGCCTAGTTACTTGTCCGTGTGACATACCCTGCCCATGGATGAAACACAATAACCATAAGTCGCAACAAAATGCCTACTCACAAGAAGAGAGAAAAAGGACGTGCTAGCCAAAAGAAAACGAAGCTGATAATATCAAGAAAAGATAACGGACATCCGATGAAATTAGGGTTTAGGGTTCAATATTTAAAAAAAAACAGCGACTACTATATCAGCACCCAGATGCAAGGCCCGGGGGGCGCCCAATGGATGTTGCCTAGTTCGTTGTACATGCATCATGTTGCAGACCCTGCCCGTGTATAAAACACAGTACACAAAGTAGCACCGCAACAATTTCAGAATTTCACATCGCCCAGTTAAACAAGCGCTAAGCAAGACAAGCTTTTTCAACATGGTCAGATTGATACTTGAAGCATCTTGAACCTCCAAGGGATTCCCATGCAGATACTAGCCACTTCCTTTCAGGTATCTCAACGGCCCAGCAGTTGGTTACTGGGGATGGTAGCCTGGTACCCTGGTAGCTGGTTCACATAAAAATAGTAAAAATCTCTGGATCTCATCTACCCAATGATCATCAATTATCTATGATGTATGGTATTTCATATAGTTTTTGAGCCATCCCAATATAATTATTAACATGCGATTCCACATACACACGTTCCACATGGTCCCTCCATGGCTGTCACAGCCTCACAGCTTCTGGTCTGGCACAACCTGGCACCCCGCCTATTGCAAGAAGTACCTCGTCGTAGCCTTCCGCATGCTGCCCAACACCATCAAGAATGGACACCTTCGGCGATTTTCCACGGTATCATATGGCTGTGTCTGTGTCTGAAAATGGGGTAGACCTCCCCCAAAAAAAAAAACAAATTAGCCATATTATAATAGGGAAAATGGTGTCATAAACCATTGGATTTCTGGGTTTTCCCTGAAATGTTCGGACAAACCCATATGATACCAATTGAAATAAGCTATAGTTACTAGAGTTGTATGTAGAACATCTGAAGTATTTCTGAAGTTATATGGAGGTTTCCTAACATAGGGTACGCCCAAATCATCCATTTTAGTAGGATTTTCCACTACAAACCATCCATTTTGGGGTACCCCCATTCCAGGAAACCCCCATATCTGAGTGATAAAATGTTACCCTCTGGTAATTTTACATAGCGAACTGGAAAATCATCATTTTCAATAGCTAAATCAACTACTATAAATGGTCATGTTTCAATAGCAAACTGCTAGTTTACCAGAGGGTATACTCGACATTCTCCATTATAAACTATCCATGTTGGGGTACCCCCAATTAAGAAAACTCCCATATCTGGGTGATAAAATGTTATAAACTTATAAACCACCAACAAAATTGATGTAGCCCACGTTCTTTGGGATGAACACTGCTTCGTACAACCGAGAACGCCCAATCTAACATAGCAAACTGGAAGCCATGACCCATTTTGTTTCAATCATTTGCTTATGAAAAACGGTGACTTCCGTAGCTATGTGAAACTACCATTAAAAAGTGTATGTATGTATGTACGTATGCATGCATGCATGCATGCATGTATGTATGTATGTCTGTGTGTGTATGTATGTATGTATGTATGTATGTATGTATGTATGTATGTATGTATGTATGCATGTATGTATGTGTATGTATGTATGTGTGTGTATGTATGTATGTATGTATGTACGTATGCATGCATGCATGCATGCATGTATGTATGTATGTCTGTGTGTGTATGTATGTATGTATGTATGTATGTATGTATGTATGTATGTATGTATGTATGCATGTATGTATGTGTATGTATGTATGTGTATGTATGTATGTGTATGTATGTATGTGTATGTATGTATGTGTATGTATGTATGTATGTGTATGTATGTATGTGTATGTATGGTATGTGTATGTATGGTATGTGTATGTATGTATGTATGTATGGATGGATGGATGTATGTATGTATGTATGTGTGTATGTATGTATGTGTATGTGTGTATGTGTATGTATGTATGTGTATGTATGGTATGTGTATGTATGGTATGTGTATGTATGGTATGTGTATGTATGTATGTATGTATGTATGGATGGATGGATGTATGTATGTATGTATGTATGTGTGTATGTATGTATGTGTGTATGTGTGTATGTGTGTATGTATGTATGTATGTATGTATGTATGTATGTATGTATGTATGGTATGTATGGTATGTATGGTATGTATGGTATGTATGGTATGTATGGTATGTATGGTATGTATGGTATGTATGGTATGTATGTATGGTATGGATGTATGGTATGTATGTATGGTATGTATGGTATGTATGGTATGTATGGTATGTATGGTATGTATGGTATGTATGGTATGTATGGTATGTATGGTATGTATGGTATGTATGGTATGTATGGTATGTATGGTATGTATGGTATGTAAGGTATGTAAGGTATGTAAGGGTATGTAAGGGTATGTAAGGGTATGTAAGGGTATGTAAGGGTATGTAAGGGTATGTAAGGGTATGTAAGGGTATGTAAGGGTATGTAAGGGTATGTAAGGGTATGTAAGGGTATGTATGGGTATGTAAGGGTATGTATGGGTATGTAATGGTATGTAAGGGTATGTAATGGTATGTAATGGTATGTAATGGTATGTAATGGTATGTAATGGTATGTAATGGTATGTAATGGTATGTAATGGTATGTAATGGTATGTAATGGTATGTAATGGTATGTAATGGTATGTAATGGTATGTAATGGTATGTAATGGAATGTAATGGTATGTAATGGTATGTAATGGTATGTAATGGTATGTAATGGTATGTAATGGTATGTAATGGTATGTAATGGTATGTAATGGTATGTAATGGTATGTAATGGTATGTACTGGTATGTAATGGTATGTAATGGTATGTAATGGTATGTAATGGTATGTAATGTTATGTAATGGTATGTAATGGTATGTAATGGTATGTAATGGTATGTAATGGTATGTAATGGTATGTAATGGTATGTAATGGTATGTAATGGTATGTAATGGTATGGAATGGTATGTAATGGTATGTAATGGTATGTAATGGTATGTAATGGTATGTAATGGTATGTAATGGTATGTAATGGTATGTAATGGTATGTAATGGTATGTAATGGTATGTAATGGTATGTAACGGTATGTAACGGTATGTAATGGTATGTAATGGTATGTAATGGTATGTAATGGTATGTAATGGTATGTAATGGTGTGTAATGGTGTGCAATGGTATGTAATGGTATGTAATGGTATGTAATGGTATGTAATGGTATGTAATGGTATGTAATGGTATGTAATGTTTTGTAATGTTATGTAATGTTATGTAATGCAATGTAATGCAATGCAATGTAATGTAATGTATTGTATTTATATATATATATATAGTTGAGGGTACAAACCAACCTCGTTTTTGTGAGACATCCCCCCTTGCAAAGGAACTTGCTGTTTTTTTCGCAACAGACAGACACCATGGGTATCCAGGGGCACCATTTCACCCAGTTGTCTTGTAATCTGGAAATAGATAATGTAATCCATGGATAATGTAATGGCTATTCATGATAATTATTGCCATCTATTTCCTGGATAAATGGCTATTCAATGTAATCTGGAAATAGATGGCATTGAATGATAATTATAAAGTTCCCCTCTGGTTGCACTTTTTGCCCGCCAACTTTTTGCAGAATCCCCATCCAAAGTCATCCAAACCAGAAACCCCCTGGGGGAACCCCGAAAAAGACCGGCACCCATCGCTGCCTCCTCACGTTGTTTGAAGAGTTTCGTCATCTCCACTTCGGTGGTGTGATTCACCACCAACAAGATCCGTTCCTCGAGGGCAGCGAAGTTCAGTGGGTTTTCGCGTATGGAGGTTTCCTGAAATGAGGGGTACCCTCTGGTAAACTAACATAGCTATTGAAAATGGCCATTTATAGTGGATTTTCCCATTAAAAAAGGTGATTTTCCATAGTTACGTTGGTTTACCAGAGGGTACCCCTAAATCCTCCATTTAGTCAGCAAACCCCCACATGCCCCACGGATGGAAAATCTCGGAAATTTTGGCTGAAAAAAACCCATCGAAGTACCAACCCCCTAGACTCAAGTTGATTTTGTCAGCTGTGTCATGTACTTCTGATATATTGCAATATTCCAAAGTAAAAGTCCGTACTGACATACAGTTCAAAGTTGGGGTGTGTGTGTGTATGTATGTATGTATATCTATATATATATATATTAGATTATAATATCATTTATATAATATTATATATATATATAATTTATATATATATTATATTATATATATATATATTATATATATTATACATATATTATATTGCGTAGGAATAAATATGTTCTAAGTTATACACAGGTTTAAAAATATCCTCTTCGAGGGGGGTCAATAATCCATCCCCAAATGGAAAGAAGATGTGACGGACACAGTGAAGAAACGACTCTGACTGAGTTCCAATTGAGTCATATTAGGTCATATGAATTCTATGACCCTCTGGTGATTTCTTACATATGGAAAATAGAATGAAAATAGCCCAATTATGGATGATAAGAAAAGAAATCTACAAATAACCCTACCAGTATCTAATCGTTATTTTTCCCATGATTATCACTTTGTGGATGATAAAAAATGATGATTCCCCACAAAATGCGACCCTCATCCTCTCCTGTGACCTTGACCCAAGACACAATCCCTGCATCGACCAGTTCTTCGCATAACCTGTGCTGGATCGGACAAGGTATGTTAAAAGCTTTACACACAACAGGCACACCTACACCTTTCACATCATTGGATTTGGACCCAAACTCTCGCGCAAACAGTATCCTGCAGTGGTTCCCCAAATATTAGTGGTCAACCGATCATCTATCATCGTCTATCATCATCTATCAGAAAAGAATTCAACACGCTTTTCCTGGTTCGGCCACCAAAAAAGTTAGGATTCCCTACTCCCTACCCTCTGGTAATTTAACATAGCTATTGAACATGGTGATTTATAGTGGATTTACCCATTGAAAATGGTGGATCTTTCCATAGTTATGTTAACGTTTACCAGAGGGTACACCCTGCCTGGGCCTCACAGCCTCTGGCCATCCGCCTAGCCTCACAGCCTGGGCCTCCCAGCCATGCAATGGCCGGTTTCACCATGCGATGCTTCCGCACGGGGAAGAGCCAAGGGCCCACGCACTTTGTCGCAGGCCACATGCCACTGCAGGCACCTGGCGCTGTCGCACTTAAATCAATGGGGTATAGAAGTTGTATCGCTACAGTAATGATTTATGTTCTAATGGGATGTTGATATAATGGGATGTTGATATAATGGGATGTTGATATCATGGGATACATAACTAAAAACTATGACACTAATCCCATCCGCCGTTCATATTGTTGACACCTTAAATCTGTGTAAATCCATCACTAAACCATGGGGAAGATGGTGAACCAATGGATGGATGAAAATTTTCCACAACCTGCATCCCCAGATGGAGGTTTCCAGAGTCATAGTCATGGGGCTACCCCAATAGCTGGATGGTTTACAATGGAAAATCCCCAACGAAAAAATGGATGATTTGGGAGTTCGCCCCATGAAAAGAAAACCTCCAGATGTTGGTTGCTATACTTCATCGTTGATGGTTTCATGAAAAAAGGGTCGCTGGCATTAGGAAAGCGAAAAGTCCTTTTGCAGCTTTGCCTGCTCAGCTATCAAATTTGATGGTTTGAGATGGTTTGAGCCTCTGCACTTGTTCAATCATTTGGGAGGCCTTGGAGTTTGCAAACAGGTTTCTGGTTTTCAGCCGGGACTCAATAATACCGACCAGAAATCAATAATTTGTGACTTTGCCGGCTGCAATCATTTGTGACTTTACTTAAGTTGGCAATAAATAAGTTTGAACCATTCCACAGAGAGGTCAAGATTCCTAGAATAATGATATAATCATTGAGAATCCCACTCAACCCAGAAGGCAGAAGCCCTATTGACTATGTGTAATTCTGGCTACATCCCAATCATCCCAAGGGTCAAATCCAGTTCTTGCATAATGTTCACCACTCTCTCGCCACTGGATCCTATTTCACTCCATCTTTGGTGGTGAATAAACCCATCAATCGAATCAATCCCATGAATAAAGCCTGATTTTCACCGGACCGGCCAAGCCCTAAAAATGGCCGTCCAGGTAGAAAAAACCATTGGAGCCTACCAAAAATCATCCCCAGTAGGGCTATAGTCAACAATGAACCCTGGATCTATTGAATCTATTGGGCATGAATACAATATCAAACAGGTCTGCTAGAAGGGCCGGGGCCCAGACATAAATTTCTTGATAATTCCATCTAACTACAGATCACCATGAATCCAACACTTAGCGTGGTTATTTCAACCAACTGATCATAAGTCAACTACCAATCCATATCAATCATCCATTGTGCTTGCGTAAATCAACATTTTCCCATAGCTTTGGTGGTTAAATCATGTAAAAAAACACCTAAAAATCAGATGTTTATACATGTAAAACACCTAAAGTCCCAATTTTTCCCATAGCAAAATGGTGGTTAAGTCTCCATGTTTCGAGTGGCGAACCGCGCGAAGCTCGCCTGCCACTGGAACGATGGCCGTGCGCACCGCCTTCTGCCTGAGGCAGGGGTGGTAGCCGCCCCCCATGGTTTTTGCTAAAACTTCCAATTGGTTAACAATGGTTCATGACACTCTTACTAGATATTCATGGTTCTTGATGGGCCCCAAAAAAAAATGGTGATTAGTGATTAGTGATATTAATAACATGTAATAACTATTATTAATATTACAAAGTAAGGCCCCAAACGCTAGCGAAGTCGACGCAGATAGCCTGGGTGTTTTTTTCATAGCTGCGGGATGGCCATCCTCCATGAGTAATCCACGACCATGGCGCAGGCAATGGGGATATGATAACAGTAGAAAGCCCAAGATTCGCAGAGATCATCACTAGGCAAATGTTAGTTTGGGATATAATGATAAATGGATTCGCATATATTCCATGGATAAAGGGGAGAAACCATCAATTCTTGGTTTAAGTACACTGCCATAGACCACCAATTGGGGCTGTTTTGTTTTTAACCAACTCAGAACTTGGGGAGGGGGGCCACATTGACTGTGTACATCAAGGGAAGGGGCGTCTTTTTGCAGAACCACCCCAACAGTTTGTTGCTTCAATCTCACTAATGTTTGAACTGATTGAGTTTGAATCCTCGCTGGTTCTGTTACCAAGTTCATGTTTGTCTTTGGTTGTGAGAAATCATTGCAAGGCATCCCTCTCCAAAGACTCCAAAACAACTCAAAAGAACACAGATACCATCTGATCCCTCAACGTTGCGTTGAGACCCTACACCTACTTTCCCAGTTCGATTCAGTGGTTTTTTCATCAGTTTTATTGGGCAAGTTATGTATGGAATATCCTCATCTACCTATATATATATATACCATCTGGTTATGACATTCACAGTTCGCCATGGAAAGATCCACCATGTTTAAGAACGGTACCCTCTGGTAATTTAACATAGCTATTGAAAATGGCCATTTATAGTGGATTGTCCCATTAAAAATGGTGATTTTCCATTGTTATGTTAGTTTACCAGAGGGTAAACCTCTATTTCGATAAATGGGCCATCGTTTCATAACCATGGCAACCGGTTTTACCCACTGGGATGATCTCAAGAGATCGCCAAGGCACTTGGGGATGGTTAGCTTCAAGGGTTCCATGGCCATGGACTTCACGATCTTCATGACCTCCTCCTGGCAGGGGGACTCAACGGTGCAAATGCGGTGAGCTCTTGAAAAAAAAAGTTGTTATCCTTGTATGTTAACATAGGTGTATGTCATGCATACATATATATACATATATATATATACATATATATATATATACATACATGCATATAAATATACATACATGCATATAAATATATGCGTGAAAATATGCATACATAATTCTGTATGTATATATATACATATATATGTATGTACATGTGTGTGTATGTATATGTGCATCTATATATTATCACATGAGATACATGTGTGTATATATATACATGTGATTGAAGAATGCAATGTTTGCACGTGCAAACCATATGTCCTGACCCTTGACGCATTGCGCATTGCGAAGGGCCATTCCACTTGCTCGGCTTCATGGCTGAATTCAGATACTTAAAATGATGGATCCCCAAGTCACCATGGGTTTCGATACTAAATTGGTCTAATTCTGGATAGTGATTTGGAGGTACCCCCCCATTTTAGCAAGCCTCCATATACAGTATATATATATGTCATGTCGTATCCATTGATAGAGTATTTCCAGAGAAAAAAACAGAAAAAAAAATATTTCCGAAAAAAAAAATATTTCCAGACAAAAAAAGAGATGGATTTCCCATTGCCAAGTTCGATATTTCCAGAAACTCAGCCACTTCCCCTGCCTGGTCCGCCTCAGACTTGCACACCAACTGTGCGCTGCCATCGCCCTGGGAACCCACCTGAAAATGCGACGGCCGATGGCGAAACGGCCCCAAGGCCACTTTTAGCTACCGACTGTGGTGATCATGGTACCATATCTTACCACCCTCTGGTAATATAATGTACCCTCTGGTTATTTAACATAGCCATGGAAAATAGCCCATTTATAAATGGTTTGCCTATTAAAAATGGTGATTTTCCATTGCTATGTTAAATAACCAGATGGTAATGTAATATGATATCATAATTGGGGATGGCTTATAACTTATCATATGCTCTCCTGCTTGGAGCAGATCTATATGGCAGTTTCGGTCAGTTTTGGTCAGTGTGATCTGCTCAAATGTACCCGGCCTGGTAAACCAGTTTGCTATTGAAAATGGTGATTTTCCATAGCTATGTTAAATTACCAGAGGGTAAATAATTTTGGCTTTTCAACTTTCAGGGTTTCCGACAATTTTGAAATATCCACTTGGCTGTTTCACTGTTTCCGGAAACCCGCATCCTGTCCTGGAAAGAAACAAACAAACAGTTTTGGACACACACATATGTCCAGAAATGTGGGATCTATCACAATAAGCCATTTCCAAGTTATCATCCAGTTATGTCCGCAACACTTTTGCCGGTCACAAATGTCAGCCACAAAACCTCTTGGATGAATCAGCGAAGTGAACGGTTTACAATGGAGATTGCGGTTTTGGATGCCTACATCCCATTTTCAACGACAAATGTTAGTAAGGCAATGTCATGAACCAGCCACATAAATTGATGATTGGAATCCTCATAAACATCAAAACATGGTGGCTAGTCGTTGGGCATGGTGGATCCTTATTTTTTACCATTCAGCAAAGGATTTTCCATGACATTTTTACCATTGGTGGAGCCAGCAGCCAGGGTATCCCCCAGCGAAAAATCCTCCGGGGATCCCAGCGCCCTTGCCACCAGTGATGTGTCTTTGAAGGGCTGGAAATTCCAAGAGCCGATGTAAGGATGGAGCCTGGCGAGCCGACTCAACTCAGCCGAAGATATTGAAAGATCCACCATTTTATAGCTGGGAAAATCCACTATTTCTATGGTGATTTTCAATAGCAAACTGTTTAAATTACCAGAGGGTATCCATTGAGTTTCAAATATGTACTGCAAGATATCTGTAAGATTCTACAATTCTACAGGCGATCCCCGAAAACAACTGGCCAACATCAGTCACCACATCAGTCACCTTCAACTCATGGGGGCATAGCGGTACGGCAATCTCATCCCAGCGCGCTTGCGCTTTGCACATGGCCTGGCTGACGTCGTGAAAAACGCCGACGTCAAACCCCCAGGCTTTGATCATCGGGGGCAAACATGGGCTAGAAGTCTACAAATAAACCTACCTCCGTTTTCATGATTGATACCATGGATAATTACCATTTATGATACCATCTTCCCATCATTTATGGTAATTCTTGGGACCAAAAATTTTCAGACACACTTGAAGGGTGGGTCGAGCCGCCAGTCCCAAGTGGTTTCTACGTTAAAAAAACAGATTATGGCAGCTTGTAATGCGGCTTTCAAAAAACCTGCTCTTAGATCCCCATCTTTTGCATTGTGAATGCCATGAAAGATCTCCATGAAATCATTAAAATTGAATCCGCATTTCTAGTGGTCAAATCCACATATTTATTGATAGTTAAATCACCATGTCTAATGCTTAAGTCATCAACATGTTTAATGCTTGAATCACCATGATTTAACGGGCAAATCACCACGATTCAATTGTTGAAACCCAATGTTTTTAATGGCTAAAAATCATGGTTTTCATAGATAAATCACAATTTTTCACTGTTAAATCACCATTTTTCATGGTCAAATTTGCATTTTTCATGGTTTCATCACTATTCATCACCCTTTTTCATGGTTAAATCAACATTTTTCATGGTCAAATCAGCATTGTTCATAGATAAATCAACATTTTTCATGGTTTCATCACCCTTTTGCATAGTTAAATCAACATTTTTCATGGTCAAATCAGCCTTTTATATAGTTAAAGTCAGCATCATGCCCTGGCCCATCTTCCAACTCAGGTTTCCACACAGCTGGGATCGGCGATGGAATCGGGATCAGGCCTGGCCCAAGCGTTCGGCGGCCTTGCGCTCGTCCCGGTCGCCCAGGATCTCTTGCGCCTCTTGACCTGGGGAGATCGGGTGGGTTTTTTTCGTTCATATGGGTATGGGTCAATACCTATAGATACATTTTTAGTGGGATGAACATCCATAAATCCCAGCTATGACTTGGGGTTCACTAGGTACCAGGGTTTTGACCCATCCCCATATGAGAGAAACCCAATGAACCATCCATCATGAACTTCAGGATGGGCCCCCAAGATAGCTAAGTTGCCTTGTAAGTCTTAAGTGGCTGATTTCTATGGTTTATGGTAGATATAACGAACTAGCTAATGGGTTATAAACAGCTAATGTTTCTGGTACCCCTGGTGAACATCAAAATAGCTGGTAAATCGATGATGTGACTTTTAAGGATGTTTATGGTAGATATAACGAATTAGCTAATGGGGTGAAACTAAACCAACAAACATAACTGAGGGGCACTATCATGTATATAGTAATATATGACTAGTAGCCTTTGTTAAACTAACAGTTCGCTATGGCAAATATGGAAAATCACTATTCTAATAGGTAAATCATCGAGCTAAATGGTCCATGTTCCATAGCTATATTAGTTGAATGGAGGGTAATCATTAGTAATATGAAATATGACTAAGAATCATGATATATGATTATAATATATTATACCCTCTGGTAAACTAACATAACTATGGAAAATCACCATTTTCAATCGGTAAATCCACTATAAATGGCCATGTTCAATAGCAAACTGTTAAATTACCAGAGGGTAATGATGGGTAAATCATGATATTTCACTGAAACTTGCCGCCAGCTACTGGGATGATGTTCCCATTTTATAGGTGATTTATCGATATTTATATGATGATGTTCCCATATCCATATATATATATACATATTATATGCCCATTTAATAACAGGGGATTGGTTATATATATATTCCATGAGTTTCCATGAACAGTCTACATGATATCCCCATATATCCCCACATGGTTCCTGGATCTGCTGAAGATCAACGGATAAATTCCACGACTACTGGGGAATCTATAGGGGAAGATGTTTTGTTCTGGGGGTTCCTTAAGAAAATCCCCAAGTCTTGGAAAAAAATCCGATGGGGGTTCTTCATGTTATTTTTCATGTTATTTTTTGAAAGTGGGAATGAAATCCCAAGAAAATCGTCTTGGATGTCATATCGAGTGACTCATAGCAGCACCCTTCACTTTGGAGTGGTTCATAGACACCAAACTTCAATTTCGGCAGGTGTCTTCCCATTTCTTTGCGTGTCTCAACAAATGTCCATTCCCGCTTGGGGTTTCCATATCTTAAGAAACCCTCTCTATCCCTGTTTGCAAGATAAATTGTGGTACCCCCTTACACTTAGCCTGGTGACACATCTCTTGGTTGATTTCACCAAGCAGTGAGTGCAAGGCTTTGTCCACGTCGCGCCGGGGAAAGGGGTAGGCCTGATGCAGTCCCCCTGGGTCCCCCTGGATTCGAGGAGGTGACGCTTCGATCAATTCCTATGGTTCAAAAGTCGACCAAAATCTACGGTATTATATCTGGTTGGTGGTTTCAACCCCCCTGAAAAGTATGAAAGTCAGATTGGATCACCATCCCAACTATTGGGGAAAATAAAAAATGTTTAAAACCACCAACCAGATATAGTTTGGAATCTGACAGGTAATGAGACCCCCCTGAAAAAGGGGTATTTCCGTGTCGTCCCAATTTCGGGAGTGCTGAAGTCTTATCCATCACCTGAGACTTGAGTCCAAATCCTTGTGTCTGATGATGCCCCTAGACTTCAATGCTTATTCACATGTTCATCATGTTCATTCATTTTCCCAACGATTTCACGGTCACATGGAGGTATAAAATGGTATAAATCCCAGCCCAAATCCCGGTGCCCTGATGCAGATCCAGATGGCGCCTCATTCAAACACTTCAGGATCTCTTTGGTATCCTGGCTCTGCGCTGTCAGATGAGTCCCGGGGCCCCCAAGTGGGAACAAAAGAGACGAGACTTCGAAGGCGGTAGACGTATGCGACGAAACCCATGGGTTTCTGAGAAGTCAGTTGGTTACAAATGCCTAGTGAACTGTTCTATACGATGGATCATTCTCAAATGTACAAGTTATGATGTGATCAACCAAAAAAATAAGAGGCTTACAGGCTTGACAACCCTCAAAACCAGGCCCGGCATAGCTCTATCTGAGGGGCCCAGTTCATAGGCCATTTTAGTTTTTTGCCAATAAACCAGGAAGGCCTATAGCTATCAACTAAACATCAACCAACATCAACGAAAAAAAACATTGATAGTCTCCCGATCTATTTTCTTCATGGTACCCATTTAATATCAGACATGATCCAAAAATCCATCCCCCTTCACCCATCGTCTCCCATCGCTCCTTCTTGGAACATAGGTCCACCACCACCATGTAGATATTGGAGGCAGCTCGGACTGACTCCGTGGAGAGCAGGTCCGAGTCGAAGGTCATCTTGGTGACCTTGAGCGTATGGAAACCTCCCATTTGTTTCAAGGGAAAGCTCCCCATTTTTTCAAGGGAACATATGTACCCAAAAAAAAAAACGGTGGTTTAAAAGAAAGATACGTCCCGTGCCAACTTCTCTCACCAAAAGCTGGTTGGCCTTCGATCCTTTTGCCCCGGACGAGCTCACGCCAGTGCGGTGAAAGAAAGATAATTAGATGGATAGATGGATAGAGATAGATCCAGAGACAGAGACACATACGGAGATATGAAAGCCAAGATGGAAGGGGCCAAGATGGGCCAAGTCTTACAGTACGTCCGACTCCCTGGATCGAGTTCATTCCCATGCATTCCATGTTTTAATGAAACCATCATTTTTGCTGGTTGCTATCCGAAAATTGGTCCATATCTATCCATATCTGGTATCCCCAGTGTTTGTGAACATCTCCCTATGCTTGTCGTTGTAGTTGCATCCCGAACACATGTTGATTTTTCTTATGTGTTTCTTGATTCAACACCGATTGTTGTTGCTGCCCTTGTTGTTTCGGTTGTGGTTGTGGGAGTGGTTGTGGTTGTGGTTGTGGTTGTGGTTGTTGCTGTTGTTGTTGCTCTTGTTCTTGTTCTTGTTCTTGTTCTTGTTCTTGTCGTCGTCGTCCTGCTGGTTGTGCTTATTGTGCTGCTTGTGCTGCCTGTGCTGCCTGTGCTGCTTGTGCTGCTTGTGCTGGTTGCGGTTGTTGTTGCTAAATTTACGTGGATTTACAGTAGGTGGTTCATATCCCCAATTATTCGATAAGTCTCGCAACCCTATTTTTGTAAGTTCAGAGATGTTCGAAGGTCAACCACCCTCCATTTTGGTTCGCCAAGAAGAAAATACCCATCTCCATTTTCCACGCGGGTTTGTCAAGAAATTAGATATATCTCTAAATCCACTGGTTTTAAACCTCATTTTCCCACTTGCAAAATGGGAATGACCTGCGGGCCTGCGCCCGTTTCAAACCAACCTCAAGTTGCTGGTCATGTATCATGTATCCAAGTATGGATATGAATGATATGGAAAGTATCGAAAAATGACTGGCCACGTGATTTCTATATTGAAACTGGTCCTTTTTCCATTTGAAGAGCCACAAAAAATATCAACACATTAGATCAGTTGCTTCAGAAGCCGACCAACGGGACGACCACTCAAATTCTGCCGCAACAGACATTCGCTTTTTTTCCGTTCCTGTTTTCCGGACAAACAAAGATGGGTTTTCTATGGTGTTCCCCACTTTTTCCTATCTTTTTCGTGGGTTTTCCCCATGTTTCCTGTTGTTTCCCATGGTTTCCCCATCTTCACCATTGAAACCAGCACGGTTTCCCAGGGATTTCCGCCGCGGCACCGCGCGGCCAAAGGCTACGCACTGATCCATCCGTCCACAGCGCGAAGGCGTCTGAATCTCACCGCGGTAGGCGATGTCCATCTCGCCGTGCACGGTGAGTTTCAGGTCCTGGGGGACAAAAACCCAAGGGAAATCCAAGGGAAAAGCCTAGGAAAATGCCATGTTTGATGTAAATTGGTGATAAATCGCTTGGTGAACTAGGCTTCGTGGGTATAACGAACTAGTTCATGGATGTTCTGTAACGGATCCTAATGGTGTTGAAGAAAGATGTCACGAACGGTATAACGAACGTGTTTAGATGGTGTCGAGATGGTATATGGTGTTGACATGGTGTTTGGATGGTTTTGAGATGGTGTTGCTACCAGAACCCGGTATGGTGTTAAGGTCACCTAGTTAACACCTAGTTAAGGGGAATATAATATGATATAACCTTAAGTTGGTCCACATAACGTGGTGAACGATGTGGGTCCATTCTTTTTGGAAGGATATAACGAAGCTGCTACGAAAATCATTCGCCGTTGGGATCCGGGGTAACTATTGATATCACTAGTGACTAGTTGTTTGAATCACAATTGCAGTTAGTTAAACATAGTTAAACATAGTTAAACCATATCAATCTAGAATCTCGTGAATTCTAGTTGATATCATTGAGCACGTGCAAGAGATTAGCAATTTTGTCTTGAAACCATCACCTTCTCATGGTCCCTGCAGCACCCCGGCTACCGGTCACAACTCTCTCTTCACCCAGGAGCGTAGAGCATGTTCAGAGACCGCACGATCAACACGCAGATGGCAGCTGAGGAGGATAAACCCTTCCTGGACGGACGACCAGGAAATGAACCATTCGCTTGGTGGCAGCGTATGGTATTCTAATTGGTGGTTGAGCCCTACCCCCCTGAAAAATATGATTTCGTCAATGGGAAGGATGACATCCCATATATTATGGAAAATAAAAAATGTTCCAAACCACCAACCAGTATTTGTTGAGTTAAAAAAATCATGAAACCTAAGATCATCACTGAAATGTGAGTTTTTCTAAAGACCTTTCGCAGCCAGTCAGGTTCGGTACCTGAAGATAAATTGCCCAAAAAAATCATGGTTGACTAAGGTTGACTATTAGTCATGCCTCATTAAATGATGACATTACAATGTTTTAAATATTTTTGTGGTATGCAGTGCCCAGACACAGCCATTCTAAGAAACCCTGACTCCCGCTGAGGATCTTGATCGGCAGATCGGACTTGTAGTTCACCTTAACCAGCTGAGTGATTGAACCCCTGACAAGATGTGAAAGTCATCTTTAAGACATCAAAAAATAATCCTCGTAGTCCTTTTTTGTCCAGAACTATCTGATATCACTGATATCAGATATCTGATATAGTGATGATGGTTTGGATGTTTTTGTCAAAAAAAACTTATCATGTTTCCTCTACTTCTGCACAGTTCAACATAGGACGTAGGAAAACCCTGCGAAACCAACATTTGAAAAAAAAATAACACAATTCGTCGCTTGCGGCTCTGAAAGTCCGCAGTGCCAAATCTTTTGAAAATATGGTAAACCCAATTTCATTGTGTTGTTGTGTTTACCACAGTCAAATCATGTTTTACAAACTGCTGAAATTGATGGGTGATTTTAAATACGCACCCAGGCACGCTGTTTGTGCCTGTGTGATCCTCCAAAAATCCTATCAAATCGTAGCATCTCCGCACCTCTAATCCCCTCCCGGGGTACCAATGGCATTTCGACATATTTCGACCCTCACCAGTCACCAGGTCGGTCATGGCACTGGGACAACATCATCCCAACACTGTTTCGAACATCATGGCTGTACCCTCTGGTAATTTAACATAGCTATTGAAAATGGCCATAGAAATAGTGGATTTACCCATTGAAAATGGTGATTTTCCATAGTTATGTTAGTTTACCAGAGGGTAACCACCCATTTGTTGGGTGCCAACCCGCCACCTGTTGGTGACGACTTCTGCGCACGGTGACATGCAGAAAGGTCTTCTGGAACTCATCTGAATTTCTTCCACCGAGTCAATGGGAAAACCGTCCGTCCGTTGTGCTATTTAAAAATTCGGCCTGTAAAACGTGGACGTGGATCATGATGTTTAATAGTGGCTTAATTCCTTGTGGGTAAAATCCTCTTCGAAAATTCCAGATCAATGCCATTGGTCCAAATCCCGATGAAATCGGAACTGGTTGGTCACTGGTTGGTCACATCCGCATCCGCTCTCAAACCTCAACTGTTCCTGCTACCAGCCAGTCCCAGTCACGATTTCGGCTCCCCCGACGCGAAAATGTTTGCCCAGCTCCAGTACGCAGCCTGGGCGCCGACACCAATGCCTTTACCAGGCCGGGTGGCAAACTGAGGTACCCTGCATGGCTGGAAAAAAAACTGATTTATAGATGATTTTCCCCATTAAAACCTCCATTTAGTTTGGGGATTTTCCAACCAACGATTACCAAACAGTTTTCCCCACAACAAGGGCCGCATTTTCATCCGGCCCTTCGGGGGAAGTGTAGTAGAAACAGTAGCTTCGCAGCCCTGCTGCCAGCAATGTTTGCGTTTATTGTTGGTTGTATATCCCATTGTATTTCCCTTATATTCGAATGGAATGGTTGGTCAATCCACATTATAGATCCCTTTTAATTTGCGATTTTTAAATCACCATCTATTCCCATGATAGTCCCATGCAGTTTCCTCAAAAATACATAGTTCGGGTTATAAATCCGCTTGTATTCCCATGTCGAATGGTGAAATTCCCCATTTTTGATGGTTGAAATCCACATGACCGCCGTGGGACCAGCGATATACGCGAAGATGGAGGAGGACTGTGCCACCTGCCGTGGGATCCCAAGGGTGATCTGTGGAATCACGAAAGTTCGTTTCACTTCTTGTGGATATATCATGTATAGATAGATAGATAGGATAGGATAGGATAGGATAGGATTAGATTAGATTAGATTAGATTAGATGATAGATAGATAGATAGGTAGACAGATAGACAGATAGACAGATAGACAGATAGACAGATAGACAGATAGACAGATAGACAGATAGACAGATAGACAGATAGACAGATAGACAGATAGACAGATAGACAGATAGACAGACAGACAGATAGATAGATAGATAGCTAGATAGGTAGATAGATTAGATAGATGGATAGATAGATGGATAGATGGATAGATAGACTGATAGACAGACAGACAGACAGAGATAGATAGATAGATAGATGGATAGATAGATGGATAGATAGACAGATAGACAGACAGACAGACAGAGATAGATAGATGTATAGATGGATAGATAGATGGATAGATAGACAGACAGAGAGAGAGATATATATATCTATAGATAGACAGACAGACAGACAGACAGATAGAATGAATAATAGATTACAATAGATAGATAGAACACGATAGATAGATAGAATACATTAGAGTAGATTAGATTAGATTACATTTGATTAGGTTGAATAATGATTAGATTAGACTATATAGATTTAGATTTAAATTTAGATTGGATTTAGATTTAGATTTAGATTTAGATTAGATTAGATTAAGATTGAGATAAGATTAGATAGATTAGATAGATTGGATAGATTAAATAGATTAGATAGATTAGATAAATAGATAGATAGACAAATAAGATAAAATAAGATAAAATAAGATAAAAATAGAATAACACAATATAAAATAAGATAAGATACGAAAAGATAAGATAAGAAAAGGAAAGTAAGATAAGATGAGATAAGATGAAATAAGATTAGAGTAGATTAGAGTAGATTCGATTCGAGTGACGGACGGATAGATAGATGGATCGATAGATAGATTAGATATATGTATACTGATCGGGATATCCATGTATGTATATATATATATATGTAAATGTACATATGGATGAATAGATGGATATACATGGATGTGTATATATGTATGGATGGCTGGATCGATGCATGGATACATGCATGGATGCATGGATGCATGGATGCCTGGCTGCATGGATGCATGTATGTAGGTGGGTAGGTATGTATGCATGTATGTATGTATGTATGTATGTATGTATGCATGTACATGGATATGTGTATATATACATATACACTATGATATTGATGAATATTATATATATATACATACTGTTGATTGTGGGAATATATATATATGTGGATATACATCTATAATATATATATATATCCATAAATATATTTCCATAAATATATAAATATGTGGATGTGTTGATATTGTGTATACATATATATGTCGATAGATGTAATATATAGAATATGAATAAAATATGAATCTATATATATATATATACATATATATATATGTATATGTATAGAGATATATGAATATATGAATACTGTATAATATATAAATATTTGAATATATGGGTTTAAACATGTATATATATATATATACATATAGACATATATATATACGTATACATATATACATACACTGATACATGTGGATGTGTACGTAGCCGAAGAAAGTTCGCGACTGAGAAGAGTCTTGTCTTGAGCAAAAAATCTCAAAACATAGACATGCAATCACCCGAAGACCATTACCCTGAAGCTTAGATATAGGTCTCTGTCAACCCAGCTTTTACATATCATATATATATATATGTATATATAATATTGTTTATCGGTTATTCTGTGTATATTATATACATATCATATAAAATCATATATATATATACTATGTATCATATATCATATATTAAATATCATATATTATATATTATATACCACATATCACACACCATACACCATATATTATATATTATATACCACATATCACACACCATACACCATATATTATATAGTATAATATATCATATATCATATTTGAAAGGTCCCACAGAGCGGTGAAACTCACCTGCCGCAGATTCGTCGTGTCGTCCAGGTCCAGCTCGATGCTCTGGTCGTCCGAGGAGGTGTAACGCCTGGGGCACGTCGCAGCACGTCTCGGCACGTTGGAACGGTGGTTTGAGCCGCAAAATTGGTGTTTTATCCATGGGAAAACCAGGAAAACCCTAGGAAAACCCTAGGAACACCATAGGAACAAATTCGGAAACCATAGGAAAATGAGGACTAAACCATGGAAAATGGTGACATTTTATGGTATCAGCAGAAATCTCCGGTTTTCTTGGAGAATTCGATGGCTTATTTTTTGGGGGTGTGTCTAGAGATGGGGTAAACACCCCCAAGACAGAGAGATCTGTCCACAATGATCAGCAACAGTTGTAGGTGTGTCGAGCAAAATCACCCTGCATTCTCGAGTGTAGAACCACAAAAAATGAGGGTCAAACCGTCAAACGGTCAACAAAATGTGGATATTCCAACAAAGAGAACACACAGTCTTCCAGTTGTGTCTGGTTACAGAAATCGTGTTGGCTGATAAGAGCTATGAGTTCTCTATGAGAGCTATGTGGATGATAACTTTGCTTGCCAGAACCTAACTGATTGGTATGATATTCCAAGAGAGTAGTATCATAACCGGTTCAAAATAGTAGGGATCCCAAAATAATCTGGGAGACATGAAGGATATGACCCATCCAAAGGCAGGCTTGTGGTCACAAATGTTGAATGCTTCCGCCATGAGAAAAGGGGGTCAATCTATTTTCGGGAAATGCCTGTTTTACGAATCCTACATACAGATCCCTGTTACTTTCAAGAACTGTCCGTTTCGTGGGCTGAGTCAGAATCACTCATCAATCTTGGGATGTTTCCTCAGCTCAACCCACCTGAACTACGATCTAGTCATCATGGCCCCCAAACTCAACCAGCATTTTCATGGAGAATCCTCGAACAAAATGAGGATTTTCCAGCCATGGAGCTACCAGAGTGTCATTACTGATTCGCCCCTCCTTGGACTCCCAGATCTGCACGTCCCAGCAGCAGTACCCGAGTGTTCCCAGACGTCTTGCGGGCACGGGCATAGAGGCCTGGCGTAGAGACTGGGGATGTATTGTAGATACCCTCTGGTAAACTAACATAACTATGGAAAATCACAATTTTTAATGGGAAAATCCACTATAAATGGCCATTTTCAATAGCTATCTTAGTTTACCAGAGGGTATATCATGATATGGGGGGTTCTATAAATGGGGATGGGGATACCCCAAAATGGAAGATTTACATTGGAAAATCCTATTAAAATGATTTGGGGGTACCCCTATTTTCGGAAAGCCTCATATATCGAACTCGTCACCTGGGGTTATACACCAACCATGTTTGGGCCAACTCAAATGGCATTGGAAGAGGATGTTCCTGTACTTTTTGGATGTGAGAAATTGGAGAATTGCCTCCAAGTTTCGGGTTCCAGCCTGTTGCTAACAGCAATTCTTCAAGCATGACACCGGGTATCTGTGTTGAAAGCCAGAATGTTTTCCCTGAAACAGATGCTTTCCGCAGGTGATCTTCCGCACAATCAGAAATCCGCCTTTTCTTAATATCTAACATGAATATAGCAAAAACACAACTACATATATTATATCAATCATATAGTGTAAATTTACTACCAACAAGTCCTCATATAGTCCCCCAAACATATTGGATAGTATAATCATGGAGGTTCCCATTTAGTGTCATCATCCATATAATATCCGTTTACGTGGGATTGATGAGTATAATCATCAATAAAATCCTATATTATATACACACTATCAATATCATATCCTATATCATATCCTATGATCATTGATATTGATGATTATGTTGATGATTATCCTATATCTTACTATTACCCTCTGGTAAACTAACATAACTATGGAAAATCACCATTTTAATGGGTAAATCAACTATTTCTATGGCCATTTTCAATAGCTATATTTGTTTACCAGAGGGTAAATCCCATTAAATCCCATTAAACCACCATAAACCCTCATGAAAGCAGCATTTTCCTATGATAACCCATTAAAATCATATCCTATGATCATCATATTATAATCCCCTAATATCATCATCAACCAGGAACTCCAAGGCAGCCTTGATCGGTGCCGCACACCAACGCGCAGCCAGGCACCACTTCAGAGTTAAAGCGTCGATAGCCTTTCGCAGCTTTTGGTGAAAAAGCTGCCGGGCTATGGCCAAACATTCTGATTCAACCATTGGACCATCAAAAACTAGGGGAATTGTGCGTTCACCATCAAAAAATCAGGTGGTACGTAAAATTTTGGTTCAAAACTACAATAACTGCTGGGTTGCGGATTTCTCTACAGTTGGATGGCTTATCAATTGTCATCATAACTTATCCCTGGGGTCCACCTTGTTGGGAGATTCCAGTTCCAATCGCTTCCAGGATAAATGGCTTAAGGCTATGCTTCAGGACTAATTTGCCAGAAAAATAAATGGCATAAGTCAAAAGAAAAAAGTTGATGGCTCCATTTACAGCTATTGAAAATGGCCATAGAAATAGTTGATTTACCCATCAATAGTCGTGATTTCCCATAGTTTTTTGTATGTTTACCAAACAGCTATTCTCTTGGTGACTTTTCTTGGCCACCACCATTTCCACGTTTAGCGCCTGTGGTGAACACTCTTCGACATGTCGATCATAGGGTGGTCTCCCAGTGAGAGCGGTATAGAATACATGTGTGTATATATAACATATTCCCGTATGACATATGCATGTAAGTATATATATAATACATATATAACATTATATGTATATACAAATAACACATATCATACACAACATATGTGTATATATAATGTATAACTTACATGTCATGCGGGTAAAACAATAACAAACCACCCATTTGGGAATAAGTTATAGGACCTATTTATGGTTATTCGGTGATGGTTTATTCTTGTTTTACCCACATTACAGTGGATAATAATGGGATATAACTGGGATTATCATGGATATGTAGTATATAATGAATAACTTACGTATATATGTATGTATATGTATTACTAACATGTATGTTTCGATCTATGAAGCCATGAAAACCTGGTAACCTCGCTCGGCTCCGTCGCTTGCCGGGCCAGGCTCGCCTCCCGCCCAGTCGGAATGCTCCCCGAAGAGGCAGATCCGGCCCGTGACGAAGATCTCAACGCTCCTCGGTGGGACCAACGGTTGACGACCCCTGGCTTTTCTGGGGATCTACCCTATGGTTATAACTAACAGTTCGCCATGGTTTTTTGATGGCCCATAGAAATAGTTGGTTTACCGAACTTAAAAATGGTGATTTTCCATGGCGAACTGTTAGTCATAACCAGATGGCAATGGGAAAGTGACGGGACAATGAAAATGGGAAAATTCATGGGAAACTAATAGGATATTTCATGGGATTTTTTATGGGAGCACCCCATTGGATATCATGGGGATATCATGGGGATATGATGCACCTACCTGAGGGTGCATCGGACTGGGGTTGGTTTTATGGCCTACCATGATTATGGGTGTATGATGGGGATATCATGGGAAAAACATCAATCAATGGGGATATCATGGTGATCTGGGTATAACTATGGGATATAACTACTTAAAAGTATTTTATATAGTTTTATGGGTATAACTATGGGATTCTACTCCCCAGAAGTTGAGGTAGGCCCCAATAACTATGCTGAAATCTGTCGTTTCTCTGCACACCCAAGTAGATGGAGGGTTTTACCATTTAAAATTGTGATGTCACAATTGGAAATTGAATAGAAAATTGGATTTGATGGTGATACTATTGGATCTAATGAGGTATAAAACCAACCATTTTCTGGGGGTACAATGTGATATACAACCATAGTAATATGATATGCGCGTGTGTCTGAAAATGAATTATACCTCCAAGTGGTCATTTTAGTAGGGAAAATGGTGATGAACCATCAAATGTAGGTGTCATTTATATCGATATTAAATAATTATGTATACAACATATTATATATATATATTATATTGGAATTGCTTGCAGGTGCCCTTTCAAAATATACAAATCCCCAATAGATTCCTCAGACTATGGAGTCACCACGAAACAATTACAAAAGACGTCAACAAATCCAGGATGGCTGTAGGAAGATGCCTACATGTCTTTTAGGTCGACACATAGTTCGTCACTTGGGATCAATTTTGTTCGTCATGCCAAGTGCCAAACGAGTTCAGCAAACTGTGCAACTGCAAGAAACATTCACGGACTGGAGAATTTTGGAATCATTACCAAAGCACAAAACATCAACCGAACTCACGGTTGGTTTCACAAATTCTAATTGATGAACCCATCAATTAGCAAGTCCTCTTTCAGTGGGTTCTACCCTTTTTGAATATTTGCATATGGCTTAGAGCCATGGCGAGTTCACCAGTTGCTGCCATAATCCTCCAAGAGGTCACCATCAATGAGGTCACCATCACCACATTGGCCCTCACCGAGTCGCTCATCACCCCCCGAAGGACTCGCAGCCATGGCGAGTCGAGAAGCGACTAAGGAACTGATGTCAATGACTGTGGATCCGATTCAAATTTCGGTGTCCCCACCCCCAAAAAAAAACAGGAATTAAATAAGTGCGTTTCCGTAGGGATCCATAGGCTATGATTTATTTCCAATGTTTGTATCATTCCCATACCCTGATACATCGACCATCACTCACACCGTCAATTCCAGGGTAGAATTGGCCCTGTTGCTATCCAAACATTGGGGTCTACTGCGAAGCCAATCTCGTGTGGCCTGGATCAGCTGACCACATGGACAGATACCTCCATAGACATCCAAACTGAACAAATCGGGATTGGTAAAATCCTGCAAAAAAAAGTTGTCCAGTTTTGAGGTGGTCAGCGGTCAATCTGTTGTTGGATTGCAGAATTCGCCCACGTACTCAATAAACGTTCCAAAAGCGAGCTTGGACCAGTCGATGGGCATGGTCATTCTGACAGATGAAAAGAGGATTGTTGAATCATGTTGAATCCTCAGAATTGATCCTGAAACAGGGTTCTTGGGCCTTTAAAATTCAATCCATCAATTTTGGATCTCTTGTATCCAATTTTGCAGTCCTGGAATTTGAACGACAGCTGAGCGCCTAGGATTTTACAAGCATCACCTCCGATTTGGAATGGTCATCCCATCTGCATTGCGTCCTCTGAAAGTATGTCAACCCCCCAGTTGCCCTGATGTATCTCAGAAAGCCCATGGAACCCATAAAGCCAAAGAGGAAAATCAATGGGTTGTTATTCCCGAGTTAGAACTGTATCTTTTTAGACTCATTGATAATCATCAGAGCCACCACAAAACACCACGCCCACCCGTGGCACCAGATCAACCGATTCGTTGTTGGAGGGCACAATGAGGCACTCTCGGTCGAAAAGGACCTGCTGAAATTTAGCCACGAGGTTTGGTTTCTTTCATACCTAAATTGATCTTCAGCCAATAGAGCAATATGTATGTCATATGTATGTCATATATATATATACATATATATATATACATATATATATATATACATATATATATATATACATATATATATATACATATATATATATACATATATATATATACATATATATATACATATGGGTAAATTATATGATAATGTTCATTAATCTGAAAATGCGGCTGGGGATGATTCCCCCAATCTCAGGAAACTCAAACTCCACGACTCCCATGGCTCTGTTCTTCCCGTGGGAGACCCGTCTGTTCAAGCTGGTAGCAGTCAGCAGTTCATGAAACAGCTACGGATTTGGGATCTGGTTGGTGGTATACCTACCCCTCTGAAAAATGATGGAGTGAGTAACAGTTGGGATGATGACACTCCCCATATATGGAAAGTCATAAAATTCATGTTCCAAACCACCAACCAGGGATCTATATATATATACATATATATATATATATACATATATATATATATATCTGGTGGGTCAGCTATAGCAAGAGATATATGAATATAGAATCACCCAAATGTCTGACCTTGGATCTCGTACCTACGAATTATTTCATCAGCCGGAAAGCCTTTCTACCACGCCAGGATTCTTTCCTTTACAATCAATACTTTCTTGTTTTGCTTGGCCTATGTTCTTGCAACGCATTATTTAACTTCAAACCCTGAGGCGTTTTAATTTCAATGGACTCTAAGGATTGGTACTGTCACTTTTTTGGGATTCGCCCGGCAACCCAAAAAACCTCAAAACACCAAAACGCCAACCTGGTAGGATTCGCTGGGCATCAACCTGGGCAACAAAAAAGTCACCCCAGAAAAGAGAGAAAAGTCATGATATATCTGGTTGGTGGTTTTAACTGGTTAATATATGGTTAATATATAATATGGTTAATGATCTTGAATAATATGGTTTATCAATGATTACTGGTTGGTGGTTTTAACCATCTTGAAAAATGATGGAGTTCGTCAATGGGAAGGATGACATCCCATATATGAAATGGAAAATAATCCAGTCATGTTTGAAACCACCAACCAGATATCTTTTTGGGCATGACTCAAACCAGTCAAACCAGGACTTTTTTGGAACTCATCAATTTCTTCCCTTCGACGCAAAAAAACACCTCTGCAGGTCCATTTTATCTCCGGCAGTTTTATGTGAAGACGAAGCAAATCCTTTCGAAATCTGCGCGACTCTCAAGTTGCAAGCAGCGTGGAACATACAAAAAATGCTGGAATCATGCGAAAGTTACATCCTGTTGAGAATCACAGCATCACAACATATATCAAGCTTCTTAGAACTTCTTGATCTCTGGACTGCTGAATCTCTAGGAAATGATCACATCATGTTGTTCTGTCTGTGGCAGGCTGCGCAGTTTACACACTGCATCAAATAATCGTATCTCCGCCCTGCCGACCAGCAAGAGCCAACAAAACGTGCAGCTACGCTGCCCAACAGTCCATGCCCAGCTTCAAACAAAGGTTCTCAAAAACACAAAAAGTTGAATAATTCAGGTTGCCCATTGTATTCCCACGGTATTCCCATGATATTCCCTATCCCAAACCTTACCATCTCTTCTTTTTTGTGCATGCGCTACACTTCGTTGCTCTTGGCGCCAGTGGCATGGGGCGGCCCCTCACCAGCTATCATCACAGAGCTGAGTGTTTCCCTGGTCCTGACGGAAACTCAGACATAGTGCCACTACCATGGCGCCCAGACACCGGGGTACAGTCGGTATAGTCCAATAAAAAAGCCATCAATTTACAGAAAATGATCCTTACTATTATTACCATATCATCTTACTATTACTATTACTATTACTATTACTATTACTATTACTATTACTATTACTATTACTACTACAAAAAATGAATACCAAAACCAAAATTCTTTTCATGGCCATGTCTGGGATGCCGGAATTTCACCGGCAGCATGGCTTGCCATCCCATCCCATCACCTCCCATGGCATCTTTTTCTCGTCGATGCTCTTGGGGCAGTTCCAGTTACAGCTATGATTTTAAAAGAAAACAGAGGTCTAGGGGGTTATAGTCAGTTATAGTTTTTGTAACTTGTATCCGATATATCCCAAGTTCCAGGTCTTAACTCCCAAGTGCGGGTCCTTGGGAAGGAAGCGGCCAGTGAAGTAGTAGTTGGAATGCAACAAGGGACCTTCGTTGGCGGAGTTGCAGGTGATCCTGGAAAGAGTCATTTGGGGTCTGAAAAAATTGGAGAATGATGATGAAACAGTGGATTTGCGGGGCAGTTGATGACCGACAAACCTCAGAAATGACATCAAGATGGCCCAAGAAAAATATGTTTCAGATTTTGGGGCACAACGGCAATGGGCAGCAACGTGACTTTGAAGACTACAGATGCTCACGCTACCAGACCTTGGGGACAGTCCTAGTTGCTTCCTCTTCAAACCTGTGACAACCTTCATCAACACAGTCCCAATGTCACTGGGATTGGTGGGAAAATCTACAGGAAACTGTGATTTCAACCTCCAAATATAGGGGCTTTCCTGTCCCATCATCTCTTGGACAACAGCCACGCCACAACCACGCCAAGGTACCGAAGCTTGTGATGAAGGTGCTCAGAATGATCTGAGGTGCCCGAAAGGTTTTTCAGGGATGCTGGAGATGTTCATACGATCAACATACATGACACAGTCATATGTATAGATACACGAATATTTACATGTTTTCCGTATCTCTATATTGATACAGATTGATACATATTGATACAGATTGATACATATTGATACATATTGATACATATTGATACACATTGATACATATTGATACATATTGATACAAATTGATACATATTGATACATATTGATACATATTGATACATATTGATACATATTGATACATATTGATACATATTGATACATATTGATACATATTGATACATATTGATACATACATATATATGTATATGTATTGCATGCATATATATATGTATTGCATATATATATATATTGCATATGCCACCATGTATCGATTTGATACACGTCCTTTTGTTTGTTTGCATATGCGTATGCATATGTATACACTTCATGAGCATGACCCCTATTAAAATAGCAACCTGACATGTCTTACCATGGAAAATCCTCTCATTTCCCAATTAAAATTGCCATTCTACATGTTTCATAATGGAAAGATCCCCTCATTTTTCGATCACAAACGTCACCTTAAAACATCCCTAAAAATGCCACCGGCAGGCGCCCCAGAACATGTACTCGGCAATGGGGCTGTGCATTTTGCACCTCAAGGCTGGCAGGGTTGGAAAATCCCACCGTGGCCGGAATTTCATGTTGGAAAAAGGGCAGATACCCGGCCTGGTTATGTTAACAGTTTGCTATTGAAAATGGCCCAGTCGAAATAGTTGATTTTACCATTAATAGCATGGTGATTTTCCATAGTTATGTTGGTTTACCAGAGGGTAATCTATAAATGGGGGAGGTGCGCCTTGGTTGAGTCCCGGAGAGTGTATAGGGATATTGGGGATAATTCAGATGGTTTTTTTTTCTCAAAACCATTGATTTTCGGTGACCCAGCTATGGTCCAGACCAAGAAATGCATCCATATCATCCCAAAATATCCACCATTGTCCCCTACCCTCTGGTAAACGTTTACATAACTATGGAAAATCACCATGCTATTAATGGGAAAATCAACTATTTCGACTGGGCCATTTTCAATAGCAAACTGTTAACATAACCAGGCCGGGTACCCATTTCCGGATGATTCTTCAGCAGCTTGACCCAAAAAGGCGATCCCAGCAGGGTGCCCCACATTGGAGTTTTTGCTCGTTAGACCCCATAAACCCAACAGATATATATGATATATCCACCATAAACCCAACAAATCAGTTTAATATAACCTAGTTATAAGATGTTATAAGATGTTATAAGTTATAGATATTTTTTTTATGTCGTCAAATTTCGCTCACCAGCTCACCATCACCCAGGACTCACACGTGAACTCCGCAAAGTCGAAGTGGTCCTGTGGCTGTCGTGTCATCTCCTATGAAATCATGGTGAGACGGGGGGCGTTTTTTATTTTGGGGGGATGGGATTATTCCATAGATGGTCCAAAAAAAAACGAGATTTCCAATGATTAAGGAAATTGGTTGGTATAGAGGAAATATTGGTTTTCTCTGTCACCCAAAAAAAAAGTGACTTGATTTTTAAAGCAACGGGAGTTAGAGAAACCAATTAGCTGTAAAGTCATAGGTCATCTATCAATGGGGCATGCCGGATGATTTACAATTCATGGCAATTTATGGCAAAAAACTCCTACAACCACCTGGCTGGGGATCTATGGGTTTGTCCTTCATGGATATCCGTAAATAATTCAAGTCGTGGGCTTCCTCCAAGACTGTCTATGTCAATGGATTGGTTTAAGGGAAAATTTACAGGAAAGCCACATATTTAATGGGAAAATCTATGGTTTCCTGTAAAATTTCCCTTAAACCAATCCAATCACTATGACTTCCTCCAGCTCGCCTCCAAGTTGTGTCCCAGTCGTGGCATGGAGCGGCTGGCAAATTGGCGCACGGGAAGCACCTCAGCGACTGGCTTCCCCAGTCTATGGGATATCCCCAATGATGTTCTACAATATACATAGTATGATACATATATATATAATTCTATAGTATATGTTATATATGGATATACAGAAAACTCACTTAATCATATAAACGTATAAAGCATGGTAGTTGCTGACTGGGATGCACATCGATGGATGTATTCGCTGTCACAATGGGAGAAGCATCAATGTACTGACATGTATCTACAAATGTGTATGTGGATAATCATAAAGGAATAGATGTGTATGTATACATATATATATATGTGTATATATATCTATAGGTATATATATATATATGTATATATATAGGTGTATGTATATATATATATAGGTATATATGTGTATATATATATGTATATATATATATATGTATATATATGTACGCGCAACGCCTGGGTTTTGCCCAGGCGTTGCAGCGCAGAGGTTTTCCATTCACAAACAAATGATGTTGCAAATTACCGTAATTCCTATGGGGAAAATAACAAAGGTACTAGGGACTATTAAACAAACAAGGTCAAAACACCCGATATTCCTATGGGAAAAACAAAAACGGCATAACATTTGAAATTCCTATGGGAAAAACAACAAAGGTACTAGGAAATTTTAAACTCTCAAATCGTGAAACTTAACATTCAATTAGGAAGATCAACAAAGATATTAGGGAATATTAAACTCCCACCCCCGTTAAACCTTAAATTCCTATGGGGAAAACAACAAAGGTACTAGGGACCATATAAAAAAAAAATGTCAAAACACCCGAAATTCCTATGGGAAAAACAAAAACGGTATTAGGGAATATTAAACTCCCACACCCGTTAAACTTCTACATTCATTGAAGACCTTCAATAAGGGTTTAATTCTCCCACCCCCGTTAAACTTCTACATTCATTGAAGATCTTCAATAAGGGTTTAATTCTCCCACCCCCGTTAAACTTCTACATTCATTGAAGATCTTCAATAAGGGTTTAATTCTCCCACCCCCGTTAAACTTCTACATTCATTGAAGATCTTCAATAAGGGTTTAATTCTCCCACCCCCGTTAAACTTCTACATTCATTGAAGATCTTTAATAAGGGTTTAATTCTCCCAACCCCGTTAAACTTCTACATTCATTGAATATCTTTAATAAGGGTTTAATTCTCCCAACCCCGTTAAACTTCTACATTCATTGAAGATCTTCAATAAGGGTTTAATTCTCCCACCCCCGTTAAACTTCTACATTCATTGAAGATCTTCAATAAGGGTTTAATTCTCCCACCCCCGTTAAACTTCTACATTCATTGAAGATCTTTAATAAGGGTTTAATTCTCCCAACCCCGTTAAACTTCTACATTCATTGAAGATCTTTAATAAGGGTTTAATTCTCCCAACCCCGTTAAACTTCTACATTCATTGAAGATCTTCAATAAGGGTTTAATTCTCCCACCCCCGTTAAACTTCTACATTCATTGAAGATCTTCAATAAGGGTTTAATTCTCCCACCCCCGTTAAACTTCTACATTCATTGAAGATCCGTTAAACTTCTACATTCATTGAAGATCTTCAATAAGGGTCCCACCCCCGTTAAACTTCTACATTCATTGAAGATCTTCAATAAGGGTTTAATTCTCCCACCCCCGTTAAACTTCTACATTCATTGAAGATCTTTAAGGGTTTAATTCTCCCACCCCCGTTAAACTTCTACATTCATTGAAGAATAAGGGTTTAATTCTCCCACCCCCGTTAAACTTCTACATTCATTGAAGATCTTCGATAAGGGTTTAATTCTCCCACCCCCGTTAAACTTCTACATTCATTGAAGATCTTTAATAAGGGTTTAATTCTCCCAACCCCGTTATACGGTATGTATATATATATGTGTATATATATATACATATGTATGTATGTATGTATGTATGTATGTATGTACGTATGCATGCATGTATGTATATATATATATATACGTATATGTATGTATGTAATTGTATATGTATGTATGTAATTGTATGTAGATATCTCCAAGTGAATCTCTGCTCTCGTCATTGGGGATGACGAATGGGCTATCACATGGGTAGCTATTTTGTATGTAAACAAATGTTGCTGATGTCAATGTATTTCAATGTGACCTCGTTTTCGGATACCACAGACCTTGCATTTGATGCCAAAATCTGGCAAGAGATAATGCAATCACTCCAATTTTACGTGCAAAGAACTTTCTACCCAAGTGGGCCATGGTGGCTCACCCCTTTCCACCTGATGAATTGGGTGCAGTCTGAGCAGCGGTGGGCACTTTGCTCATAGGCCGCAGCCCAACATTGGCAATCCTGACCCCGATGGCCCTGAGCCCGTGGAAGCCACCACAAAATCCAAGTGTCCCGGGGGGAAGTTGCCCCTGTAAATCACTGCAAATGAAGGTTTGAATTTTGGAACATCAATGAAAATCAATGGAAATCATCTAGAGCTGCGGGAAAATCCAGCCATCTTTGATTTTTGAGGCACCCCAAAAAACAACCTCCAGTACCAACCCCCACACCGTGTCACCGTCCTGGCAGCACTGCGGAGGAGTCCCATGGCGGACTGGGTCGATGCTGCGCAAAGCGATGGACGTCGATGGGAGCCGAGCTGCGGATGAGCCGAAAATGTCCGATCCTGGGACCTGGTGAGTCCGAGTTTCACAACATCTGTGGACCTTCAATGTTGAGTTATATAAATGAATACATATATATATATTATTATACATATATATCATATTATATTATATTATATTATATTATCTTATCTTATATTATATTATATCATATCATATCATATCATATCATATTATATTATATTATATATTACAGTATATATATATATATATTGTGGTAGAATCTCATGAACTGAAGTAGACGATTTGGCCACTCTTTTTCGGTAGACGAAGAGTATACTCTGAAGTCTGAAGTCATCTGGAATCACAAAGTCATCTTTGACCCAGGCAGAATGGATAGGTTTTGGCCCTACTTGGCCAAGAATATGATAGAACATGAAACTTGATCGTCTCCCAAGAAAATCATCTCCGGCCAATTCTGGTCCGGAAATCCCAGTTTATGTATATATATACTGTATATATATACTGTATATATATATATATAGAGGGAGAGAGAGAGAGAGATAGATAGATAGATAGATAGGATATATACATACATACATACATACATACATACATACATACATACATATATATATATATATATTATATATATATGGTGCTTACTTATATAAGTCATCTTAAGTCATCATTTTCTGCGTCCCAATGTTTGGTGCTTCAAGTTACCATGGTATTCGAAATATCCCAATGTTGTGCAAACCACCTTTAATCCCTATTTTTAGTGCACACTTAATCCCTATGTAAGGTAGTCAAACATGTCCATGGAAAAAATCACCCATTTACAAATATGATTTTTCCATTCTATATAATTCTATCAAGCCCCCCATTTATATATACCATCTGGTTATTTAACATAGCCATGGAAAAGCCCCATTTTTTATAGGTAAACCATCTATAAATGGGCCATTTTCCATAGCTATGTGAAATAACCAGAGGGTATATATATATATAGGGGATTTTCCAGCAAACCATGTTTGATTACCTTACCGGGCAACTCCATCTATCTATCACAATTGACTTGACCATGCCACAAGTGTGGGGAGTTAGCTAAGTTGCTTTGCAAAAAAAATAAGTGTAGGGTTTTTTTTTGGATTACAACTCAAGTGAGCTGGAAAAAATCTAGAGGAAAACACATAGTTAATCATATAAATTACCATAGTTAACCACATAGTTACTCTATAGGTTTATAGGGATTAACTCAAGTTAACCACATAGTTCACCCATCTGAATCCCATAACCATCTGAACTTCACATCTCTGGTTGTCCTTGCTGAGAATCCGCACCGATCCAGCACCGGCACCACCACCGCGTGCTCCAGGAGCCGCAGTTGGCTGCAGGGCAGCTGGACCTGATCTCTGGAGACTCCGGTGATCTCATTGGAAGCCAAAAAATCTTGGGAAATCCGTGACGGATATCTCAGCCCCGGCCATCTGTTTTGTATAGCAACTTAGCCACCATGATTTTCACAACGTAGCAGCAACGTGCAGCAACTATAATTGGACTTGAATCCACTGAAACACTCGAAATCCCAAGTATACTGGAGTTATCATCGAAAAGAAAAAACACAAACATATATGTATGTACATGGGAAAAGGGGATATGCATAGCGATACAAAAGGGAATGCACAATTTACAGTATGATGAATGTCAGAGAAAATATGGGAGACTATTTTTTTGAAAAATCACAGGCAGGTTTCGTGGAAAATGTTTACATAGTGCACTGGAATTTGGGTGAGATCTGGGAAATGTGTATACATATCTATACATATATATATATATATACACATCAAATATGTGGTTATACGTATATACATATAGAAACTATGGGGAAATATTGATATCATGAGGATATAAAGAGAATATGATTGTGATATGATATAATTGGGATAGTGACATTGTCCCAGAAATGTGGAATCATTCTGGGATAGTGATGGGTTAACAACCCCCAAATTGTGGGAATACAAAATCATAAACGTATTAGGAATTGTGGATATGAATGGGGAATTTTATAAATCTTATCTTATAATTACCCCATATAGTCAGGATGGTTCATCGGATAAACTATATCCAAGTCCAATAATGTCCTTTTGGTAAAAATAGAGGGGCCGGGAGCTGGTTAATCCCATCTATCATCAAACAAACCTGTTGTTTTTCAGGGATAAACCTGAAGAAACCCCTCTATTTTCATCAACCAACCAATGGGAATTTGGGACATCTATGTATCCAACCATGGTGATGGCTGGACCCTAAAGATCTCCATCAATTTTCCGTGCCGTGATCCCCATCTGGGTGGAAGCGCCTCATGCCGCGGCGAGCGGAGCATCAGCGAACCATTGCCCGCCTGGCATTGAGAAATTCCATCGTTTCTATATGTACAAATATATATATATATATGTTTATACATATATATATATGTTTATACATATATATATATATACACAGTATATTTCTTATATACTTATGTATATCAAATGGCGGGTGATACCCCAATTTTCCAGACCAACCCACGCTGGGGAAGAGTGGCATCTGAGCTGCATAGAATTGGAAAACACATGGGTACAGAAGCTGCAAAATGTGGGGTGTTTCTTAACATGGCTATGGATCAAAAATGGTGTACCAACGGATGCACGGCATCCATCATGTTGCCAGGCTGAATCCAGGCTTTTACCATCCTGCATCATACCTTTTGCAGTCTATGACTCTCGATTTTCTTGGTAGGTTTTGGGCTTTTTGGAAGCTAAAATAAGCTAAAATCCACCATCTCAGATCAACCGGACCTTCATATCATCCACAGCTGCCACAGCCACCAAGAAGCCTCGGTTTTTTCGTGAAGGGCCGTGTTCCACATGGGAACATTCAACAGGGCAGTTGCTCACATTCGGAAATCACAAACGGGGCTGGGAAATCATTCTATTCAATCCAACTATAGAGGTATTGCCGTCAGTGGCTTTTTAGGATCATCTCATTGGTGAAGATCCCAAGTTTCTCATGGGGAAAAGTGGGAAACTACATGAGCTGTGTCATACTTTCACAGCCCATCTCAAAAAATCTCCAAATAGGTCTGTCTGAAAATAGGTTTATACTCTTCAATTGGCAATTTTTATATATGTCAATATGGAAAAGGTGATTCACCATGGGATTCAAAGGCTCTGTCCCCAAATTTGGTCAGGTACTTGCCCCAATTTTCCTGTTGATCATGCACCAAATCGCTGCGGTATTTCCAAGGCCGGGCAGCTGAAGTTACCAGGAGGAAATATCCCAAGATGATACAGCTCGCCGCCCTCATTGTCCACCACGTTGTCACCTGAGTTTCTGATGGAGATCCCAAAATAGTGGTGAAATGAAGCTGTTCTATCTTTTTGGGGGTTCTTATAACAAGGCAAATTTGGGAATGATTCTCCGCATCACTATGTCTTACTGCCATGTTTAGAACGCAAGGATTCCTTTCTCTCAGCCGAGTTCAGCTGGGAACGGAAAATAGCTGGCAGCAACTCAGCCAGTTCTCTAACAGGTCATCATTTGGGTTCGTCCTCAAAAAATGATGGATTTCCTCTGCAAGAATCATGCGTGAAGGGGAAAAAATCATGGGTTTCCCTGAACTTTGTCCATTTTTGCTCCGGAAAATGAGAATCTTGGTCGCCCAAAAACGGGTGCCGAGAAACTCAAAGTCCCTGCGGGCATCTCATTCCCCAAGTTGCTCACAGGTACCACCATAAACCTCAAAGTGCTAAGATCTTTGGGTGCGGAACGCAGGGCTGGTACAAGCCAAACGATGTTTCAATGATGTGGTTTTTGGGGTCCCCTCTGATTGGACGAAGGAAACGTTCCAAAAATACGCGTGCGGGCATTTCTTCAAACGCACCTGGAAGATAAGACACCCACTGCCGACCTCTAGCTTTGTCCCAAAATGGACCCTGTTTCCTATGATTTTCCCATGATTTTCCCAGGTTTTTCCCATGGACAACCATTGAATTCATGGCACATGGCGCCGGTATCCCGCATGATTCGGTCTCAACCCAGGCCGGATCCCTGGCCTCTGATATCCAGTGGGAAGCACTGTGAAGATGTGGGCTCGGTACGAATCCTTGGCAGCGTGGCTGGTCAGGGACGACTAAGGGCCAAAAAAATCCAGAAAAATTGTGATGCTACACCCACTGCCATGTAAATCATTCCCAAGTCATCACTAATTTTTTATGGGTAAACCATGCCCAGTCATCGTATGTAAATGGCATGAGTCCTGTTCAAAGAACGGCCCCAGAAGGACTCGAAAACCCACCCAAAAAAGAACACCAAAACGAGTTCCTCTTTAAAAAAGAAGGTGCTATGTAGAATCACATCTATTTCTACCTATGAAAAAATGTTTATACAATATACCCTCTGGCTATTCAAGGTAGCTATGGAAAATCCTTCATTTAGATCGATTATGTTTCCAGCTATAAACCTCCATTTACTTCGAGGATTTTCCAGCCAGCCATGTCAAATAACCAGACGGTATCTTAGTTAGATATCCCATTATTATCCCATGATTATTCCATGATTATTCTACTAGTATCCCCCATAACAATTAGTGATAGTTCATGATGCTTAATATAATATCATTAGCATTAACTATCATTATTAACCATCATTAACTATCGTTAGTGACCACTATTAACTATCATTAAAAAATGTTAAAACATGTAGTTAGTCCCCCAACCATTAATGATGGTTCATCCCCCAACAATTAATGATGGGTTTAACTGTTTTAACCATTAACCATCATTAACTATCGTTAAAGACCACTATTAATGGTTAATGGTTAAAACATGTTAAAACCATGGTCTCCCCCGTTTGCCCAGTGGGTGCCCAGTGGATCCCAGAGGCCACTCGGCAGCAGATCTCATCGTTCTCATCGTTCTTGGGCAGCACCGCCAGCGCAGGCGTCAGGCGGCGTTTCACCGCGTCCACCAGATAGACCTGGTGCTGGGGATGCCTTTCGGACCGGAGGACCCCATTTTTATGGCCGTTTTGGAAAAAGTGAAAATATGGGAGTTTCCCATCAGAAACATCGTTTAGGAAAATGCCGTTTGATCGGAATCGGCACTTTCAGAAGTGAATGGGAAAATGATGATTGACCCATGATGGATCTAATGAGGCGTCAAAATCCATGGGTTTGGGGCGCAAACATCAATTCTTTGTGGGGAATCATTGGTTGATAGAAGTACAGCAGGAAATGGATGATGGATTGCGGCAGATATCATGTAGTCCATGATAAAATCCGTATGTCACGGTGGGGAATCGACGGCTGGGATCGTCCGGGGTGTTTTTTTTGGATGATAACTATGTGGTTGGGAATAGGGAATATGGATATAAGATGATATAAGGATCATCCCATCCCTCAACCTGGTCCCAAATCTGTTGAAATCCCCCACTAAACCATGGTTTCTGCAGGGTGTTTACTGTTGGGAAAGGATATATGGAACTTTCCTCGCCACGCCCTCCGCTTAGCTGTGGCACTCGATATTCAATGATATGCTCCTGCGACGAAAAAAAGAAGCACCGTTTGAAACTTGAAAATCCGAAGTGGCCAGTTGAAATGAGAAAAAAAAACATGTTCTAAGGAATGAGTTTCTGAAGCCTCTTTTGGGATCCACATCTGGGAGAAAAATCAACATGTACCAAAAGATGTCGAGTTGAGTTGATTGGACACGCAGCGGGCCAAATTCAACTGAAATCCATGGATATAGTTGGATATTATGATATAATCACATCGACATGTTTGCCAGGTTTATCCTATTTGACTTGGCTGTATCCTCATTTGCTATCATTTTGGTGCGTTTTTTAAATCCCATGTTTGGTTGGTTGTCTCATGTCTTGGCTCAAACCCAATTTCCGCAGAACCAGCAAAATTCTCACAAAAATGGGCCCATTCACAAAGCCACTTTCAGCACCCAAAATCTGAATTCCGTCGACCCATCTTCAGCCAGTGAGGTCCTTGTCGCCTCTGTGGCTTCAAACCAAGGTTGGTTTATTCTCCCAGGGAAAATCCGCCATTTTGGGTAATTGAAATTCTCCATTTTCAGACACATCAATATGGGGATGGGTCAAAACCTTGTACCCCTGGTGAACCCCAAAATAGCTGGTAAATGGATGTTCATCCCACTAAAAATGTATCTATAGGTATTGACCCATACCCACATCAATATTATCAATCCTCCATTTTCAGGGTGCCACAAGTGTGGAGTGGTCAAAAAATCACCCCTCCCCTCGTTCTCCTCGGAGATAACTGACCTGAAGCTGAACAACTTGGGGGGGGTGCAACCAACAAGGCTATGGATAAGTATGGATAGTAAGCAACAAATACAGTGGGTAAACAATGGTAAACATCAACTTCTGTGGCAGTTGAAACCACCAACCATGTCGTGCAAGTTGGCTACCCACCAGATGTCTCTTTGTTAGTTTAATACAATGTAATCACAGTTGAGTTGAACCGTGTCATTCTCCAGTATTCCGATATTCCTATGGTGACTGGAAAAAACCCTCGATCCCGAAATGGGCCGAAGGCCAGCAAGGGCAAGGCACTCAATGGAATTCTGCCCAAAGTAGATGTCAGACTCGTAGTAGCCGCGTCGTGGGTCCTGCATCGCACAGGCGAAGTCACCGAAGTTTCCATCAGAAATCCCACTGCAAAGGCCATGAGGTGCTTCTAGACATAGGTAAAGGATGGTAAAGGGGTTCTTCCCCACTTCAGTTGCCAGGACTCTGGACCCTTGAATCGGACAGCTACTGAAGAGCTTTTCAAAGATCAAAAGCTGTGGATTCCGAGGTCGGAAGCACTGAGCGTATAATATCATGTCGACCTGAAATGCAAGGGGAAGAAAAACGTATGGTATATAAATCACCATTTTCCCCTGTTAAAAAAAACTGCCATGAAGTAGGGAAAATTCACCGTTTTCAAGTCAACCACACTCCTGGGATTGCAGCCTTTAACGTTCACCTGGGAGTGTCAAAAACCAGGCTGCACCTGAACCCAACACTATTTTTCAAGAGGTCATCATCATATTCGGAGAAATACTGAAAATCGAAAATACATGACTTCTATGGTCGTCCTCATCATCATCATCATCGTCATCATCGTCATCATCCTCATCATCATCATCATCATCATCATCATCGTCATCATCATCATCATCGTCATCATCGTCATCATCGTCATCATCGTCATCATCATCATCATCCTTATCATCATCGTCATCATCGTCATCATCGTCATCATCATCCTTATCATCATCGTCATCATGTTCATTCATTTTCCCTATTCTTCCCGTGCCATCCTTTGGAGATCGGAACAATTCGCCACGCTCTCCTGGTCGTCGCCCACTTGTCCAAAGCCACAGACCCGACATTTGGTCATGGGTAGCACATCACTGGCCTCCGGCAAACGCCACCTCAAGGCTGAGGGCTGGCAAATGATGGCTGTAACTGTTCATAACCATGAATGTTAATAACCGGCAATAACCACTAATAAGCATTAATAATCAGTAATGACCATTAATAACCATTACTGTTCACAACCATTAATAGCCATTAATATGAATGACCATTAATAGCCATTAATAACAATTAATGAGCAGTAATGACCAGTAATGACCAGTGATAACCTTCATAAAACAAAGAACTCTTGAAAGCTGTTGTATTTACTGGGCCCATCTGGCTCACTTAAACTGAAACTCAGGAACTGACAGCCCACTATTTTGAGCATCATTCTGCGGCAGTGCCCAATTTCATATCCCCATGGATTACAAGAATACCCAGCATACTCTCCTCTTTCATCATCAACTCATTTATGGATCTGATGGTCATTCATATTAATGGCTATTAATAACCATTCATGTTAATAACCATTAATAGCCATTAATAGCCATTAATAGCCATTAATAGCCATTAATAGCCATTAATAGCCATGACCATTAATATGAATCTTCAATCATTTTCCCACAACTCCTGGTGAATCCTCCTGGTCTACCTGAGATGACCCCAGTTGGACGGAGCCGTTTTCGACGCCGTTAAAACGCCAGGAGACAAGTCCAGGTTGTTCTCCGGGCACGTCAACTGGAGCGCCTGGGCGCCACGTTTTTTGAAGAGCAGAAATGACAGGGATATTATATAACATGTACCCTCTGGTAAACTAACATAACTATGGAAAGATCCACCATTTTTTTATGGGAAAATCCACTATAAATGGCCATGTTCAATAGCTATGTTAGTTTACCAGAGGGTATATGTGTGCATGTCTAAGATATAAATGTACACATATGTACCATATAATATTAAATTATATATCATGTACAGCATTCAGTTCCTAAGTAATCCTAAGCATTTGTAAATAACTATATATTATATATACATATCTTGGGATATCACTCAGTTCCTATATAAACATGTTCCCTCTGGCAGTCTGAAGTGGTGGGCTTGAGAATCCGCTACTTGATAATTTTCCCCTAAGATGAGGGAAAATTCACGATTCGTGGTGAATTAAGGGTCGATATGAAGAAGAAACCCACCTTCAAAATAGCTGGAAGACCCATTCAATCTGCCTTAAAAAAAAAACTCTGGTTTCATCAAACATGTAGTTTCATCTATAAGTGGTTGATTTTCAATTGCCATCTTTGACCGGAGGGCATGGAAACCAACTTCACATTTTCCGGTGAGTTGGTGGAATTCCCCGGCCCCAACTAACAACACCCAGTTCGCGATGTTCTTTTTTGGGTTCGCGACAGTGACTCTTGACCCAAATTCCAGAGGAGTTATTTGTCAAAGTCATAGACTATCATAGACTGTCCATATCCATTTCTTGGACTTTCATCTTTCCGCTTTGACAGTACTCCACCATCTTTCCAACTAACTCGTATTCTATACTGTCAAAAAACTTGCTCAAAAATCCATCTGCTCAAAGTTGGATTCTCTATATCTGCCACGAAATTCACCTGGCGCATGGCATACCATTCCATTCCATCGTTCGACATCCAGGCCCCCTGGCTGTGCTGTAGTCCATGCAGGGATCTACCAGGATCTCCGGTACACATTGCTCACCTGCACCAGCCGCAGCCGCAGGGATGGGAAAGATCATGGGGCCCCATGGATCCCATGGATCCCAAGAAAGTTCCCTTAAACCATCAATCGATCCACTGATATGGAAGAAATTGATTTAGTTGATTTATATAGATATATACCATTGAATGTTTCTACCATCCACTAAAAAACCATCCACTTATATGTTTCAACCATCCATCCACCATCAATGGTAATGATACTGTGGCTGGAAGAAATCCTGCATCACCTTGGATGGTTGAAACTCTATAAATAGTGGGATAAACTATCTATCAGCTGGTGCAGGATTTCTTCCATCCACCGTAGATAGTGAATGATAGATAATGATAGACAATCTACTTCAAAATGCCAACCATGTCTTGTCGTTGATCAGAAATCAAACTGAATACCTTTGTTGACTAATGACGTATGGCTCATACATAAATAACGCAACTAATCAAAGAAAAATGTAATAAAGTAAAATTTTAAATCATGCATAAATAACACAACTCATACATATGTAAATCGCTAATACCGGTTTAATTGACTTGTGATGACTCATGCCGCTTCCCCCAATCCTAATCATTGTTCTCTTCGTGAGGTCGTGCCCATCACCGCTGCGTTGTTCCCTTACAATATATCATGTACATATTATAGCATATGTATTATAGTATATATAGAACTATGTATTATATTGTGTATATAAGATTATATAAATAATTTCGTACATATAATATTACATGTATAATCTTATATATAATGTCAAAAATTAGAAATGTCTATATATATAATGTCTATATATGAAATCACATATAATCCTATATATATGTAATCTTGTATACAATAGTATATCACATTGTATCTGTATAATATTATATACATAATATCATATACAGTAGTATATATAATATTATACATCATATCACATCACATCACATCACATCATATCATATCATATGTTCTACTATATTATATCATATTATACTATATTATATCATATCATATTATATTATATTATAGTATATTACATTATAGTATATTATATTATACTATGTCATATTATCACATTATATTGTACTATGTGTTGTTATATAGTATTATATTGTGCTTTATGTTATACTATGTAATGTTATAGGTTGCTATTATACTATGCTATGTTATATTATATTATGATATAGTTTGTTGTATTGGATTGTATTGTATTATATGATATCAAATAATAATATATATGATATTTTATTGTTTTATATCCTATTATATTAAATCATATCATATATACCAGTATATACGCAGTTTATCATAAATTTATATTTATATATATATGTGTGATATTATATATATATGATATTAAATTATACGTTATATCATACATATATATATATACATATTATTATTATCACGATTACTATTATTTTATTTATTTTTATTATTCTTATTACTATATTTCATTTTATTTTATTGTCTGATATCATATCATAACATATCATATCATATTATATTATATTATGTTATATTATATTATAGTATATTATATTATATTGTAGTATATTATATTATATATATGTGTACATGATATTGAATGTATAGGTGATATCATCCATACGTGATTGTATATATGTATATTATATTGTATGTAAATGATATTATATATATATATTATTATTATTATTATCATCATTATTATCATTATTGTTATTATTATTATTACATTTTATATATATATATATACATTGTATTGTTATATGTATGATATTGTAAATGTATATACTATACTGTATATATATATGTGTATATGCATGATATTGCATATATATATATACATATTATACTACATATATACAAGATAATTGTATTATATATAATCATGTGTATTATGGAATATGATATTATATAAATATGTGATATTACATACATATATATATATATACATGATTTCCCCATTACTAATCCCCATGTTGTTGGTGATGTTCCCAGGATATCCCCAACTATTTTCCCATCTTATGCCCGGGAACATTTACAGGAAACCATTGTTTTGCATATGAAAGAAAGGGATTCAACCATATATGTTCCCTTTTAACCAATTCCGTTACTACATTTGTCCAGATGTGCGCTGTGGTCAAAACATGGTATATGGGGGTATGGTAAGCCATAGAACTTGCAAATTTTTGCTGATGTTCCAGAAAAAAAGTGAAACAAACACAGAAACTGACCCCAAAAAAGAAAGTTCCACTTGTCCCCCGAGGTTTTCCCCAACCAAAATTAATCAACAAATTAATTCAGGGATCGCCCATCGGAGCCTGACTGCATCATGGAGCAGCCGTTGAGGCCATAGAGGGGACAGAGATCGCCACATGGTTGAATCACCACTGTAGTGCTGGTGCCACTGGTTGTCATACCTGCGGCATCGCTGGGTGACTCTGAGATGTTGAAAATGGCTGGCTGCTTTGAAATGAAAAAACCATGAACTAAATTGATATAAACCGATATAAAATGAAGTGTGAATCAATACAATATCCATTGTTTTCAGTCAATAGAGTCAATACAGGTTAGTATCTAACGTAGGTGGACAAGAATCTCCTATATTGTTTGAAATGGTGATGGCCAAAGCCATCAAGGGGCCAGGGACATGAATGGCTCTGGGCATCCGAAAACTGGCGAGCCTGAAGAAAACACACCTCTCTGTAAACTGGTGCTATGACAGGGCATGGTGTCTTGATTTGGGTGTGTTTTGTTTCAATCTGGGGTCATTTTCCCGCAATTTCTGGCATTTTTCAAAAATGTCATGGGGAAATTTGGAAAGTAATGGTAAAACCACTGGATTTGGGGATAAAAAATCGGATATCCACTGTCCGCTATCCCCTGGCAGCAAAAAAATGGCATTGTCCGACATCTTCAACCCATGCTGAAACCAATGGCTTCCATTTTTTCACCATAGGCTTTCCATGTGGAAAAGAAACTGTGGAAAAAAAACATATTTTAGGACAACATTCAGAGCGTCGAGAAATCTCTAACCAGCGACTGAAAAACTGCGATTTGATTTTATGGTCATAAAATACATGGTATTTAGTTATGACCGTATAATACCCATGGGTTATGGTTCCACTTCATAACTGGATATATGGTAAGATCTTCCGCCGCAATTAATCCCAACTTGTCCAGGGTATTCTTGTGCTTGGCATGGTAGCCGCTGGTAATCCAACGCAATGAAACGCAATGAAAAATCCTTTAAAACAATCGGACTTTGATGAGAAAATCATGGAACTATAGCTGGAGGGTATACCCTCGGACCCAGGGCACTACTGGTGGTGGTAGTCGTGTGCGAAGTGCTGCTGCTGGTGCTGGTGATGCTGGTGATGCTGCTGGTGACGCTACCTCAGCTTATGGTGGTACCCCCCGAATCATCCAAGTCATGGATGACCATGACTTGGTATGTGAAACCCATGGCAGAATGGATCCCACCTATAACCCAAAATATTGATTTTGGGGGAAATAAATGGAACTATAAAGGGAATATATGGTTATCTTCAACAATGAAATAGTTTTGCAACTATATTAAATGGCTTTTACTGGGGAAAAAACATCGAAATAAAAAGCAAGCCATATCTGATTTCCACAGGGTGTTTTACTTATATCATGTGTATGTATATATAGATATATATCAGTATGGAAATATACATCTATAACGTGGCTTTATCGACATGTGTCTTCCTACAGTATATTATATGATGTAATCACTCAATAAGGCTTCTGGTCGAAGCTAATCATATATGAATATACATATGCATATACATACCCCCTCCAGTACGCTGACATAGATGTAGACAACCCACCATTTCTGCACTGTTCGAGGAAAACTAACGGATATCCATGTGTTGGTCTACCTCAGGGCGTATGTATGGATGTGGATATATGGTCCAGCGTTCCAACCCCCCTCCCCCCCCCGGCCATGGTCATGGGTCAGCCATAGTACTGTCCCCCTCCCCCCCTGTGGTGTGGTGGGGGTGTGGTACTGTATGGATGGTAGGTATGGGTTTGATATGACAGTATGTACGGTCTGTATGGTATGTATGGTTACTATGATAGGTATGGAATGTTTGCTATGTAAGGTAGGTATGGTGTGTATGGCATGTATCTTTGGTATTGTATGTATGGGAGGTGTGGCAATTATGTTTCATATGTATGGTATGTGTGGTATGCATGATAGGTATGATAGGTATGATAGGTATGGTATGTACGGTCAAAGTTCGTATGGTATGTATGGTATGCATGGTATGTATGGTATGTATGGTATCATTGGAATGTATGGTAGGTACGGTATATGTTAAATACATGTAGTGTTGTGAGAGTACACAGGTAGTGGATACATAGCACATGTATATATGACTATAGGTAGCACGTAGGTCCGTACTTTGAGGGAGTATGTGTGCTACGTAGGTCGTCTAAAAGGTAGCATGTACCTAGTAAATGCGAGGCTGGTAGTCAGAAATGCTGCAAAGACCTAGCAAATACGAGGCTGGACCTCAGAAATGCTGACTATAGCTCGCAAATAGAAGGGAAGGGGGTGCTACTTGGAGACCCATACCATGGGGGGGGTGGGGGGGGTAGGAACACGCAACACGAGACCATATATATATATTTACTGTATGTCATGTGTATATTATTATATGGATATGTGGCAATGAAATGAGTAACAGAAATTTTGCTTGGTTATGTTTATTCTATGGTTGCTGACACCCGCATCTTGCTTGGCAAAATCTGGAAATTGTGCCTCTTTTCTGTACAATTGTATGGCCATATGTTGGTAGGTGACCAATGATTGCTGTGAGAAAGTAGGGTGTAACATGGTATAACTCCTTTGACTCCGAGCAAACCATTTCCAGATCACAACGGGCACCTGGTTTGAAGCGTTTTTAGAAATGCATACATACTTTTTACACACTCAGTACTTAAAATACTATATATATATATTCAGAAATATGCAAACATGTGTCCAGTATCCAATCTCCAAACCTGTATCCATATCCCTGCATACGTATAATT